TTGTTCAGTAACATAAAATTTGTCAAACCTACTGTATGTCTATGTTAATGTGTTTTCTGTTTTATCAGGTTTTATGGGGGAGTTCCTATGTTTTCTCGCAAAAATCTACGTTTCACCTTTATAACATGTACTGCGCAGTCGATAGCTTTTGAAAATATTCGCAAGTTGTCGCTCAGTGCACTTTGTAGTGAATACATCTGTAAATTTGGTTCCATAATGGAGGCAATTCAGCAAATTGATGATAATAAAATCGGCGGATTCGGTTTGGTGTTGCAACTACTTATCTATCATCTACATTCAAAGTTTAATTACACCATTCGATAGTTAAACGAACAAAATATTTGTTACGTTGAGTGAGGAAAGTGACGCATCGTGCGTGCCGAAGGGGGAAGCAACGCCATTTTGAGATCGTTATTAGCAGGTTACGTACACGTATTGACGCAATACACAGCCGTGTCCACGACACAGCCACAACCCGATTTTTTTTATAGAAGGTTTTATAGGGTCTTACTAACATATGGCTCACATAAATGGTAAGTGACTACCGTCACCCATAAACAACTTCAACAGCAGAAGAATTGCAGACGCGTTGTCGGCATTTAAAAAAGGAGTAGGCTCCTTTCAGGGTATTTCAACCCAAAGGAGGTGCATTTGAACTGAGGGGCCAACATGGAATTCACAAAAAAAAAAGAGTTCTTGTATATACTGTTGAGACAAAAATTTATAAAATGGGCCAAAATTTGTACAGTTCCCAGTTTACAGGAAAAAATTGTACCAAGTTGACGGTGGTGCCTACATTCAAGTATATGGACAGAAGCACCACACTTATTCACTAGAGAACTCTAGACATTTTCAAAAACTTAAAGTTAGCGTTGATATAATTAATTTCGTATGAAATATCTGTTAACAGAAAACGTTTAGATTGAGGTTGTCTTCTTTTTAGAAGTAACAAGTACTTCATTTTAGAAGTAGTTTATTTTGGAAATATTATTTTAATATCTAAAATATTCGCCTTTTTTAATGTACAAACTTAAGTTACAGCTAACGTTGCAATCTATTAAAGCTCACCGCCGAACATAGGCCTCCCCCAAAGAGTGCCTTATAGGGGGAATATTTGTCATAGTTGTCACGCTTGGCAAGTTCCTTGGCATGGCCGCCACAGTTTTTTGTTTTTTTGTCGTTATTAGGATCCCTGATCCTAATATAGTCCATCTTGTTGGCGACATCGCGGCAATAGCTGATGGCTCCGTGGCGTAGTGGCTTAGCAATGGGTTGCTTGCGCTGGGGGGCGCGGGTTTGAATCCCGCACGGAACAAGTATTTCTATGGCCTACAAATAATTGTTCCGGGTCTGGATGTTTGTCCTTGTGCAATTTGTGTTTGTAAACTGCCTCCACGATACAGGAGAAAATCCTAGTGTGGGGGTAACGTTTTTTTAAAAAAAAATGTAGTTTAAAATGTTGGGCACAAGATGGTAGGCGAGTGAAGTCGCTGACTCTGGGGAAGCAAGAAATAAACCGAGGAGAAACACTTTCGCTTTAACTACCAAAGGCGCTAGTAGCCTCAAGTCATAAAGTCAAAAAGGACATAATAATTGTATAATTATTATAATAAATGTTCTACTAAATACTTATACTTACACTCGGTGTCTAATTGTCTATCTAAGTAAAACAGAAAGTTTACAATCTCCTGCTTTGTTTTTGTTTCCCTCTGTCGCCTCTTACATCACCCACGGGATGATATAGGTTAGTGGATATTCTTACACCGCCACTAAATGGTACACTACAAACTTGAGCTAACTTTGTTTTAATTTTAGTTGGTCTGATCAATTTTGTACAGTTGCTGTTATTAATATATTTTTTATGTAGGTTCCTCAGTCTAAACTGCCTTTGAAGTCGTATTGATCCGGTAGTTATCAAAAGGACATCATAGTTGTCACAGCACCACCAAAAGAACATCTCTTAGTGATGGTGTTATTCTATTAGGTTTAGGAGAGTAATTAACATCTCTACCTTGACTACTTGGTGTCACAAATTTCTAAAGGAAATGTCAGGAAAATGATTTTGCATCCAAAGGGATAAAATAACGAATGGATTAAATATTGAACATGGTGGTGTGGCCGTGGAAAGGAAAAGGGGAAATCTCCCACCGGGCAAAGTGTTAAATCCGGGGAGCGGCCTACGCTCCTAGTGGTAGTTCGGAGCCATTCATATATACTGCTTCACTTCGGAACTTTGATAGCGCGATTTAGGCTTCGATGTGTTTCGCTTGTGGCGACGACAGCGCCGCCTCATTGTACCCCTACTCAGACCGGAGGTCGATATTGTTGTCCGATTGTCGGTGCGTCCTTAATGCCGGTGTGCAATGCATGCTGTGTGCGTGAAAGGCAAGTGACGCCGGCGCCAACGATATGCCGGTGTGTAATGCATGCAATACTACGCACTTGCAAGTGATGCCGGTGAGAACGATGGGCTGAAGTAAGTGATAGAAGTCTGCCTTATAAATCTAGCAGAAAAGAAAACAAGTTTTACTGACTTGCAGGAGCTGAAGACTGCAGAAGACAATTCTCAGGAGTGGTAGGGGTTCTTGAGGATAATGACAAAGGCTTGATGTTGTAGTTAGTTGCGCCGCCACAGCGGAATCAAAAAACTTAGAACGTAATTCAGTCCTTAAAATAATTACACAGTCGGTACAGGTAGTTGCCGTGGTAGCGGCATACTTCATCATCCAAGTTTCTAGGCGGTAGAACTCTTTTTCTGTTTAGGAGTCCATCTGGGTGAGTACCACAATCTTACCTGCTCCTACCACCAAATAGCAGTGCTTGCATTGCTGTGTTCCTAACTGAAGGGTATAGAGAGGCAATATAACTACAGGACGCGAGGATTCCATCTTAGTTTTCAGAGGAGACACATCTTTAGACTTCTTAGTTCTATGCAGTAGCCACTTACCGTCAGGTGGATTGTAAAAGTTTGCCACTTTAGTTTTATAAAAAAAATAACTTATACCATAGTATGGTAAGAGTCGATTATGGGAAATGCATCTCATGGTCTCCAACAGAAGGCGGTATAATCATTGCCTATTTGCCAGAGGTGATTTACTTGACCGGGAACGGAGCATAGGATCAATGAGGCCTTTCACGACTTTTTCTGCTCCAGGGAGGCGATACTAGAAAGTGAAGTATAATATTTGACACATTTCATAGTGGGGAAATTAATTTATTCGGAAAATGTAAAAGTTATTATTTCTTTTTGTTCTATTAGCTATATTTTATATCAATAAGATTAAAAATAAATAAACCAAAACACAGATATTCATAAAAATAGAAAAAAAATGTTACAAATGTGCATAAAATTAGAGAGCAAACCACTAACGCATTGTTTTGTGTATTGATTTAATACTCTAGAAACTGGTAAACTTTTATTAAAAACCAACTTCTCAATTAAAAAACTTTGTGTAAAATGTGTAACAAAAAATTTTACCTCACTGTCAACTAGCGACATCTGGTGAGCAGAAAATTATTAGCCCTTATTAAGCAAGTCATCTGGTATTGCGATTGTATTCTGTTTTATATTACATCTTAGTATTTAGGGGTGAGTATGTATCTGCTGCTTTATTTTGCTGCAGCTACTTACTATTGGATTGAATGCTGGTTCGTTTCCTTAAAATAAATTAAAATTAAAATTAAATTACAAGTTAATAGGTTATAACAGTAATTAAAAACCAAATTGCGTAAAAAAATTACTTAAAAGAAAAAAAATATAGTCGAAGTCACTCCCACAATTAAGACGAGTCTAACGATACCTTCTATGTTAAAATCCATCAAGCCTACAGAGCGTGCCAAAGAAACTATATTACATACTCTCAAAAAAACATTACCCTATTTCTACGCCGGTTGCGTAACTATAAACTATCAAAATTCCACTGCTGAACACAGACCAGAGACAGATTGCCAGATTCGGCAGGCCGCAGTTTTTTATATGAAGATACTGCTGGCCATCCCTTTATTCAGTCTCCCTCGTGATGTCACAGACGAATGGGGACGGGGAACATGCGTATACTAAATTCGCCTCACTAGAAAAGAAAAAGCACAACGGATCAGGCACAAGAATCTTCAAAATATTAACCTTGTAATCTCGATTTGAAAATGATGCTCCCAAAAGTATACGACTACTAGCTCGCCAGGCAGACCTTATTCTGCCCTTTCCAAGGACCCTTCATATAAAAATCCTTAAATTCGCAATAAAAAATTTTGAGGGTCATTTATCGGGATAAAAACTATCCTATCTCTCAAGTTGGACCAAAATGTACATAGTGTGCAAAATTTCATTGAAATCAGTTCAGTAGTTTAGGAGTCCATCGCGGACAAACAACGTGACACATAATTTTTATATATAAAGATTAGCATGTTATGAATATATCATAACATGCTAATACTCATATATCCAGGATGAAATGTGTAATAAATTAACGACGTTTTTAAAATAGTAGAACCACGCTGCTTTACCGTGCTAGCACCATGCTGCAGCTGTATTATGCAGTTGTAGCATGAATGGGTTGACTCGACCGGGGAAGGACCATGCTCTTACAGAATACCAGCGTAAAGTAGCAGCTTTATGCTTCTGAATTTCGTTTGGTGAGTGTAGACAACCGGAGATACTTTTTATTGGTAATGAGGCATTCTTTCTTAGCCCTTAGCGGTGACTGAATGAATTTGATTCTTAATCGAGGATAAATGTAGGTGTTTATGGGCCACAGCATCCACTTACCATTAGGTGGACTGTGTACTCTTTCGTCACCCTTATACTCTAATGATTACTTTAATATAAATTGCTTTCGGTGTATGATTATGTAAAATTCAACGCCACTAATCAACACGGTTCGTTCGAAAACACGATTAGCGAACATTCTTCACAACAAGTGCTTCGTTGCGACAATCACAGTGTGTCGTCAGTACAAACGAGCCATATCCTGGAGGCAATTGGGTTGAATTGAGCGGGCTGTGTTCAAACGCAGTCAGTAGCCCGTTCCGACCTGTCTTCAGCGCGTGAGTACTCATTTACTTAATACATATTTAGGTCTTTATATTGGGAAGGCTTAACCTGGATCCGATATTGTATATGAATAAAAAAGTAAGTTTAAATCTTATAATTTTTTTTAATTGGTTTTCAATCGTTGCTGATTTTCACTTGTTTGCCCCAGTTAGATGGTTATGTTTCTTAGTGTATGTGTTTTGTCTGTTTCGTTGTGATTTTCTGTAGCCGTAGCAGCTTGACGGAGTTTTAAGCGCGAGATGTTATTAAGTCCGTCTTCATCGCCGGAGTGTCACAGGTCTACATTTTTTAGTATCAATGCGATGTTCACAAAATTATGTTCTTCGCTTGAAGAGCATTCTGATGAACGTCGCATTTTGTTAGTTAATAACAAATCACTGCGGTTGAGTTCGTTACTTTTTAATAACAATTTGTTTGTTTTATTGATTTATTCCCTTATTACAAGTGAACATATAATTTTGGTATCCACCTTCAACAGAGAATCAAGATTATTGTTTACTTACCTCTTTACCAGTTATAGGCCTTTCAATTGCTTACCAAAATCATAATATTTACTTGTTACAAAGATCCTTAAAATATAAGGTCTGTCGGTAAACAAACTTAATTAAAAATAACAGTCTACCTAGTAGTTAGTCTGCAAAAGTGCATCCACTGCTGTGTTCCATTTGACAGGATAAGTATGGCAGCATAATTACTTCATTTGACTTATATTATTTCAGCTAGTCTATAAGGACTTTTGATTTTTTGAAATTGGTGGGAGAAATCTATAAGTCGTAGTAGCCACTTCCTGTAAGATGAATTGTTCACTTTTTTAACATAGTAGAGCCATGCTGCAGCTATATTGTGGTTGCAGTACGAATGGGTAGGACCACGCTTTCACAGAATAATGGCGTAAAATATCAGATTAATGCTGCTGTGTTTTGAATGGTAAGTGTAGAGAACCGGAGACCTCAGGGGTGACAAAGCATCTGCATTTTGATTCTTAACTGAGGTTAAATGTAGATGTCTATGGGCCATAGCATCTACTTACCATAAGGTGGGCTATGTGCTCGATTGTAACCCTTATTCTATAAAAAAAAAAAACTCTTTTGTCATAATATAAACAATAAGCAAAAATAATAGTCCCTGGTCAGAGTGTAGTGGCAACGTAAAAGAATACGCTATCCCATCTCATTATATCGGTGACGTCAGAGCCGACTGATAATTCTCCTCAGTAGCAGCAGCATCTTCATGATAACAACTCAAAAATAATAAAGAACTGCGTTAGTCAACCCGCTTGCTAAGCGTGGCAACTATACTGAAATTCTTCTCTATGAGGTAACCTGTGCAAAAGCAGGTAGTTATTTTCAAGTTTTTTAATGTATAATGAATAAGAATAATTACATTCTTTAAAAAAATTGTAATAAATGAGCACAATGCGGCTGAGCTTTGTTTAGTACGAGGGCGACACTGAAAGTTTTTGAAACTGGCCACTTGTAAACGATATAATAAAAAAATAAGTTCAAATTTTGAAAATGGAACTCTTTGCCAATATTATTGTGTATGTATTTTATTAATTTGTCATTGGTTTACGATTTGGCGGAAAATTGAAAATTGTCTGTGTCACGTCAACATGAATTTAACGCAAGAAAATTTTCGTACAATGATTTTTTATGACTTTCGATGTCATTTAAGTCAACAAGAAAGTTATGATAGACTTCGATTGGCATTTCACGATGAAGCCGCGTCTCGTACCACTGTTTACAACTGGTTTAATGAATTTAAACGTGGTCGTACTAATCTCACCGATGATCTGCGTGAGGGACGGCCTTCTACGGCGACGACTGAAGATAACATCAGTGTTGTGCAGCGTATGATAGAGACTGAAAAAAGAGTGACTTATCAGCAGATTCGGACAAGCTTAGGCATCGGTATGAGTCAAGTGCACAAAATCCTCCATGAACATTTAGCGATCAGAAAGCTTTTTGCCCGGTGGATATCTTATAATTTGACAGAGGCCCAAAAACTCGGTCGTGTTGGTTAGTGTCGTGAAATGGTTCAAAGATTAAACGGAGGTGACTTAAATGCTGTGTTCGACATACTTACATGTGACGAAAGCTGGATTTATTATTATGATCCTGATACTAAGAGACAGTTTGCTGTCTGGGTGTTTCCTTCAGAGGAGATGCCAACTAAACTGAAGAGAGTTCGAAGCGTGGGAGAAAAGATGGTGGCCTCGTTCTTCGGAAGGACTGGTCATTACGCAACAATTATTTTAGAGGATCTGAAAACAGTTACTGCAGAATGGTACACTAACAATTGTTTACCAGTTGTCTTGGAAAAAGTTCGGAAGAAACGACATCGCAGTAGGATCCTCCTTCACCATGACAACGCCGCGTCGCACATCGCCAAGCAAACAATCGACTACTTGGCGACGTCAGACGTGGAATTACTAGGTGGTCACCCGCCCTATAGCCCCAACCTTGCGATTTTTATTTATTTCCGAAATTAGAAGAAAAACTTCGAGGAAAAAGTTTTATGGACGCTGAGGAAGCAGTGGCTGCGTTTCAAAATGCCGTCGAAGAGACCTCTAAGGGCGAGTGGGAAAAGTGCTTTTCTCAGTGGTTTCATCAGATGCAGCAATGTATTGATGTATATCTATGGACACTATTTTGAAAAGATATAATAAAACTAATAACTTGCTAGTTTGTTTAGTTTTTGATTTTCTACGAACTTTCAGTGTCCCCCTCGTAACTGACGAGAATCAGAGACACATTTACTCTCTCTATAGATCTCATGTAATCTCCATTTTGATTCTTAATCGAAGTTAGATGTAGCTATCTATGAACTACAGCATCTTACTTACTCAGCTCACCCTCAGATAGACTGGGTGCTAATAATTAAACTTTAAAGATCCAAAATTAATGTGAAGGTTTTTGATGTCAACATATTTAAAAAAGAAAAACTTTAAGAATTTGTCATACATGTATAATGAAATAAAAGATAGCTTCAAATATTTTGCAAATTAACAATAAAAAAGACAATATGTACCTACCTAGAGATATATATAAAGATTATTTAAATTTGTTTAATAGTTTGGTAGTTGCTTTCGACTTTTTGAACAACGTGTAAACGTGAATTTGTCAAAGGTATTTTGACTCTAATCAACAATGTCATATATATTGGCATAACAGTAATTTGTTTTTGTTGCTTTAATACATTAAAAAATTCTTACAGGGGCCGGAGAGGAAGTCTTTAAAGTAAATATGTTTCTCAGATTGTTTGCGATCACGTGCTTATGCGCGTGTGCAACATTTTCCTTAGCACCGGATAAGGTGAGTTATCTAAATAGATTTTGGTGTACCTGACCGTCATTTCATAGAACTCATTCATACACATCGTAAATTTGTCGTGTAATCATAACGCCTCGCATAATATGTTACAAAGTCCGTGCCATAAATTTATACCGTAAGGCTTGAATAAAGAGTCAATAATATACATACAAACATATAATCACGCCTCTTTCCCATATGGGTAGGCAGAGACCACTTCTTTCCACTTGCTACGATCCTTACATACTTGTTTCGCTTCGTCCACTTTCATTATTCTCTTCATACATGCTTTACAGCTTAGGGTGCTCTTGACCTGGCCTTTTTTCAAGACGTCCCTGATTTGGTCTTGTCCGCCTAGGTCTACCACTTCCAGCACTTTCATTCACACTCGCCTTATACACATTTTTCGTCAATCGTTCTTTTCATTCTCTCGACATCATTCTCTCGACATGGCCAAACCATCTCAGCATACCTTTCTCAATTTCATGTCACTACATCTTCTTTCAGACCAATAATATATATAATAATATAATAGATAAAGTCAATAATATATATAATAATATAATACATAAAGGAACAATAATAAAAAATAAAATTTTCAACCCGCGGGTATCTTGAAAAGGTACTAAGGGAAATGCCAGAAAGATCATATCGCTTAATAAATAGCAGTTTAACCAACCGATTACGCCAGACGTAAAATACCCTTACCACCGGCGGGATAACGAACTAGAAGGTTTATTACTACGATCGGCAATCTACCATCCATGACAAATCCTACCTGTAACAAAAGAGGCCCATGTCTGGCAGTGAATTTTACGAGCTGATTGTCTATGGTTTTATTAGGACACAGTTTTAATTATTCCCAGGCTCAATATTTAATTTCAATATAAAATCATTTGTACTACTTAGACATTCAGCGTTTTTATCTATAGTACCTTAAACTTTATCCACGAGTTCTCTTTTCCAAAACTTTTACCTATCACCATCACTTCTTTCTTCTCATTAGTCCGTAACAGTCCACATAGTACAGTACTGTAGTAGTACATACAGTACTTTGCTGAAGAGAAAGATGTTCTATAACCTTTAGTAGAACTGACGATTGTAGTACCTGAACTGTCACATTTTTAGTGGTGGCAATATTTATAATTGTCGAGTAGCCTCATGTTGGAAGCTGGATAGTTTGGAATATCTTAATTTTTTCAGGTCTTTACTCATATTATTAAAACACGAAGCATCGATCTTAATAATGCTCATGGGCTTGCTATGGAAAATCGACTTGGCAGAAACGTCGTGCCAACCGGATACTATCTTGAACTGGAACCGTACATAGAAGACGGCGTATATGAAGGCCGAGTGGTTATAAACGTTACTTGGAATACGGAGACCGACGAGATAAATCTACATTGTGCTCCAGATGTAGCAATTGTAAATTCGAAGGTTGAATTGTTTGGAGAATCGTAAGTTTTTCTTATTGTTGCATTCCTTCAGTTTTTTTATAGTATAGTTTCACAAATGCCTACTTAAATATTTGCAATTTGAAGGGTTAGTATATAATAGTCATTAATAAAACGTTTAAATACTTAAGTTAGATTACAGAACAGACAGAAACAGAACTAGAACAGAAAAAGATAAAATAATGTACCATCTTAAAGGCACGTGAAAACATACAGAGTGACATTATCCGTGCAGTGGCGGTGTAATAATATCCCCAAATTATCCGGTGGGTGTTGTAAGAGGCAGAAGTAAAAAAAAACCAAGAGATGGGCAGAAAAGTCTCTTTAATTAAACAATTAGAAAATGAAATATATAAAAAAATACAAATTTTATATCTAATTTTTTTTTTAATTTTAGCGGAAAATCTCAAGAGATTGCTATTACACAAATAGACACAGATGCAAAGAAGTCCACTCTAAAGTTCCAATTAGAAAAATCGGTGCCAGCAAGCAGTATTGGGGCACTCGACTTAAGTTTTAAAGGAAAAATGGAGACTAGTACCAGCGAAGGTTTGTTTAAGTCCAGTTACAAAACGGATCAAGATGAAGAGAGGTAAGAGAAAATATTTTGTGCTTGCAGAAGTTTCTTATATACATTTACGCGAATACTAAACTAATTTAATGCCCTAGCAGAATTAACAGCGCTGCGGTCTGCCACTGCATTATGATAAGTTGGGACCATTAATTTCACCCTAGATATCCCTATTTAGATAATCCTAAGCGGCGTAGGAAAGTGTCAAAGGTGTGAAATGTTTGTTACTGCGAACGTCAATACGCCTCACAAGTGTAAGAGCCGACATAGAGAACTGAAACATGAGTTGACGGATTTTCCTGGCGACAGCAGAAAATAATACACGACTTTGGTTGCCAGTACAGGCAAAGCGTGGCAACTAAGGAAAAATTCCTCTCTTTAGACAAACTATGGGCGAGGCTCTCATAGTCCGATGGGGCGGCAACCCGACACGTCTGAAGAGAGATCAGCAGGGACCAAGGCACGCTATCCGAGGCACGGGGGTGAAACATCGCTAACTTCCTGATTCTAGGCTGCTCTGAGAATTTCTCGACAGGCCATAATTGTACTGGCTCTCTATACCATTCAGAGCGGAAGACAACAGCGCAAGAATTGCTATTTGGCGGTAGATGCTTCCAACGACGGAAGAGGCCCATCTGTGGCTTTATACAGATGATAAAAAAGAAGCAGTGTAGAGAGCGTTGTGATCACACGCTTTAAACATTGTAATCTATTATTTAAATGAAGTGCCTCTGGGCTTTTTGCTGGACGGTGGATGGCTTTACAATGAATTTCACATTGGAAGTACACTTCTCAATAACTAATCCTAATTATAACTTTTTCTCATAGACCTTCTACGTCTGTGTATTGTGTAGTTCTAAACCTCTCGAAACTCCTGTATATAAAAATAAGTAATAGAATCAGGCGTTACTTTGCGGAAATCCATTATATAAAAGCTTTTAAAAAAATTTACTTCGCAAATATTCGCGTTATAAAATAAAATGATGTGTCTTACCTAGTATGAAGGGCACCTCCCGCCCTCCCTCAATGGCGTCCAAAATCCAAAATTGTCGTTCGACAATATGACACGTGTCGTATTGTCGTCAGTGGTGTGTTTTTCCTATTGTAGTGGTGTTGGGAGTAGCGGTGCTGGGATTAGTGGTGACGGGGATAGTGCACGCAATTGAGGGAGGGCGGGAGGTGCTCTTCATACTAGGTAAGACACATCATTTTATTTTATAACGCGGATATTTGCGAAGTAATTTTTTTTTAAAGCTTTTATATAAAAATAAGTTAAAATAAATGAAACTACGGTCAGTTTAGTGGTGGTGGTGTAAGAATATTCAGTACTCCATATAATCCCGTGGGTGGTGCAAGAGGCGACAGAGGGAAAAAATTAGATGGGAAGTAACGTCTTCCTAATAGCGACTTAAAACAATAAGCTGCGGTTTTCAACCCGCTTGCCAAGCGAGGCAACTATGGTAAATATCCTCCTATGAGGCAACCTGTGGGGGAGGACTATGTTCAGCAGTGGACTTTAATAGGCTGTAGTTTAGTTTAGTTTAGTTTTGTTTACGACGGGCTATATTCCGCAACTCCGCGTTTAAGCGCGTATTTTGCGTGTGGGCAGGAATAATGTAATTATTTGAGTCATGAGATCTCCCCGAAGAAGTTCAACAGTCCTTTGATGTTGCGAACAACTTCAGGGAGTGATCTCGGCATGCCGAGATGTTTAGCCCTGTATGTAGCGACCTCCGGACATGTCAGCAACACGTGGGCAGCCGTTTTCTTCCTCCCCCATACATGCCCTGCACAGGGGACTATCTGTAACACCTATGGTAATTAAATGTTTGTTAAAGGTGCCGTGTCCTGTGATAGTACTTGTTACTATCCTGATTTGCGGCTTGTTTAGTCTTTGGCTACAGAACTTTGGTTAAGCGACTGTTTATTTCAGGCAGGGCCTCCCTAGCTTGTCTACTGTCTACTAGATTTTTGCAAAGCTGAGCGTTTTTGATTAGTGAAGTGTCTACGTACCAGTTAACGAATGTTACCAAAGGCGATTGGTTTGATTGGTTCCGGCCCTATAGTGGCCAGAGCCGATCCTCTTCTGGTCAGTTCGTCTGCTGCATCGTTGCGTCTGGATCCACTGTATCCCTTTATTCATTGCAGAGTCACATTGTAGTGTTTACATACCTCATTTAATCGTTGATGGCATTCTCGAGTTCACCACATTGCAACTCAGAGGTTGTAGTACCGCCCTAGTCAGTATTCTGATGGAGAAGTCATTAACCTTCCTAGCATCTATTGCTATGGCCGCTTGAATGATACCCATACATTTCGCCTGAAAGACTGTAGGTAGCCAGCGATGTGCATATGTGGATATTGAAGTCTTCAGAGAAAGTTCCAGCCTTCATTTATTTTAGAACCATCGGTGAAAACTCTAAGCTCGTTTGGGCTTAATCATTCGGGCTGGTTGGTTTAATTTAATTGTATCTTGTACTTCTTATCGAATACAAATTGTTTAGGCACCTTATCGTACTTGGCTTGTAAGATAGGATTTTTGGAGTGAATTCTATCAATTCAGGGGGTGCTAAGAATCTCCGGTGGAGGTTCGGTTGCCACCTACGACGACTCGACCTGGCAACATACAACGCACGCACCCTGAGGACTGACGAGAAGATTGTGGAGCTGGAAGAAGAGATAGACAAGTTACGCTGGCATATTATAGGATTATCCGAAGTCCGAAGAGAGGGGGAGGACACGGTAATCCTCGAATCCGGCAACTTGCTCTATTACCGGGAGGGCGACCATCTGTCCCAAGGAGGTGTCGGATTTATCGTCCACAAGTCTCTCGTTAACAACGTTGTAAAGATTGAGAGTGTGTCGACGAGGGTTGCGTACCTTATACTCAGAATCACCAAACGGTATTCGCTGAAGGTCATACAGGTTTACGCACCAACCTCGGCACACCCCGATCAGGAGGTGGAGGAAATGTATGAGGATATCTCTAGAGCCTTGCATTCCTCCAAAACCCAATATACGGTGTTAATGGGAGACTTCAATGCAAAACTAGGCACAAGAGAGAACGGTGAGCTGAAAGTAGGGAAATTTGGAATAGGGCAACGGAACCCAAGGGGCCAGCAGCTGGCCGACTTCATGGAGAAAGAGGGACTCTTTATGATAAACTCTTTCTTCCAGAAGCGGCCCCACAGGAAGTGGACCTGGTCGAGCCCCGACGGTTCGACAAAAAATGAGATTGACTTCATTATGACGACCAGACGACAACTGTTCAGTGATGTCTCAGTGATCGCGAGGGTGAAAACCGGCAGCGATCACCGAATGGTTAGAGGCACACTGAACCTAAACGTTAAGTTGGAGAGGTCTCGTCTAATGAAGTCAACGCTCCGTCCCCCTCGTGCTCTAATCCAAAGTCCCGAAACCTTTCAGCTCGAGTTACAAAACCGTTTTCAGTGCCTAGAAGACTGCAATGAAGTGGACGATTTGAATGACAAGCTCGTGGAAACTGTCCATGCGGTCGGAGCTAAGTTCTGCAAGACCCGCCGCAGAAGAACACAAAAACTCTCCGATCACACTCTTAATCTCATGGCTGTTAGACGGGAGATGAAGCTACATTCTTCAACAGATTTAACAGCATACAGGCAACTGAACAGACAGATCTCCAAATGCATGCGGCGGGACCTACGCAAATTCAATACAGCTCGTATTGAAGAAGCGATCGAGCGGAACCAAGGCTCCAAAGTCTTTGCCAGAGATCTGTCTGCCAGAAAGCGCCAACTGTCAAAGCTGAAGACAGAATGTGGCAGCATCGTTTCCGGGGCACCTGAGATTTTGAGTGAGATTGAGAGGTTCTATGGGCAGCTGTACACGTCATCGTTGGAGCCGCACGCAAGTGTGAGTAACGATCCAAGAGCGAGTCTTATCCGACATTATTCCGATGATATCCCGGACGTCAGTCTGAGCGAGATTAGAATGGCTCTCCAGCACCTTAAAAACGGCAAGGCCCCAGGCGAGGATGGAATTACAGCGGAGCTTCTGAAAGCGGGTGGAAAACCGGTACTTGAAGTCCTTCAGAAGCTCTTTAATTCCGTCCTCCATGGTGGCATTACACCGGAGGCGTGGAGCAGAAGTGCGGTGGTCTTGTTCTTCAAGAAAGGCGACAACGCTCTCTTGAAGAACTACAGACCGATTTCCCTTCTGAGCCGCGTCTACGTGCTGTTTTCGAGAGTCATTACGAATCGTCTCGCGCGCAGACTTGACGACTTCCAGCCTCCCGAACAAGCCGGTTTCCGAAAAGGCTTTAGCACCATAGACCACATACATACCCTTCGGCAAATTGTACAGAAGTCCGAGGAGTACAATTTGCCACTATGTCTGGCGTATGTGGACTATGAGAAAGCCTTTGATTCCGTCGAAATTTGGGCCGTGCTGCAGTCCCTTCAGCGATGCCAAGTTGACTGTCGGTATATCGAAGTGTTGAAGTGCTTGTACAGTAGGGCTACGATGGCTATCCGAGTACAGAACCAGAGTACGAAACCTATCCAATTGCAGAGAGGTGTAAGACAGGGTGACGTCATATCCCCGAAACTCTTTACCGCTGCATTGGAAGATGTTTTCAAGCTTCTGGACTGGAAAGGATACGGTATCAACATCAATGGCGAGTACATCACTCACCTTCGATTTGCCGACGATATAGTCCTTATGGCAGAATCGCTGGAGGACCTAAGCACTATGCTCAATGACCTCAATAGTGTTTCCCAACGGATAGGTCTTAAGATGAACATGGACAAAACAAAGATCATGTTTAATGTCCATGTCACACCTATGCCGGTAGTTGTTGGGAACACTAAGCTCGAAGTTGTTGACGAGTATGTTTACCTGGGACAAATAGTCCGACTAGGTAAGTCCAACTTCGACCGAGAGGTCAATCGACGGATTCAACTCGGTTGGGCAGCGTTCGGGAAATTACGGCACATCTTCTCGTCAGGTATACCTCAAAACTTCAAAACGAGACTGTACACCCAGTGCGTGTTGTCAGTGATGACATACGGAACTGAGACGTGGTCCTTCACTGCTGGCCGGATGAGGAAGCTCAAGGTCGCTCAGCGAGCTATGGAGAGGGCTATGCTCGGAGTTTCTCTGCGTGATAAACTCAGAAATGAGGATATCCGCAGTAGAACTAGAGTGACCGACATAGCCCAACGGATTAGTAAGCTGAAGTGGCAATGGGCCGGCCATATAGCTCGAAGAACCGACAACCGATGGGGAAGAAAGGTTCTCGAGTGGCAGCCTCGTACCGGCAGGCGAAGTGTAGGGCGTCCCCCCACTAGATGGAGTGACGACCTGGTAAGATATGCAGGAAGTCGATGGATGCAGGTGGCTCAGGACCGTGCTTTGTGGCATTCTTTGGGGGAGGCCTATGTTCAGCAGTGGACTTGTGAAGGGCTGTAATGTAATGCCTGTATGAGGGACTCTATTCTTACTCCAAAGATTTAAGGTCTTGAGTCTAATGGCAGCTAAAGTCACTTCTTGTTGTATGTGTAGATGAAGCGGGGTTAGCTCGCCTCTAAGGCTGCTGTTGGCGTAGTCCTATGTAGTCCGTAGTATATACATGCCAGTCTCTGGTAGCGCTGAAGTGTCTTTATAGTGGTGGCTTCATTTGTCTTGGTGTACAACATCAGAGCGCCGTATATATAATTTTCGGCGTCAGACCCCATCTCTTGCCAGTTATGTTTCTGCATTTCCAGAAAGTTATACTAGCTTTGTTGATTTTGCTTTCTATGTGTTTATTCCAGTTGAGTTTACAGTCCAAGGTAAGCCCTAAATATTTTATCTCAGAGGATAACTGGAGTTTTCTGATGAAAATACTTGGGAGATGATAGTTATTCAGCATTAGTTTTTGTGTAAGTAATTAATGTAATTGGCGGTAACGGTAAATGAAACGAATTTTACAGATTTTATCACGTTTAATTTTAACATTTTTACTCCCGACTTTCCGGTGCTTTATAGCACCCATGGTCACGGGGCGAGGAACTAAGGTGTTTGACGTCCCGATGTCATAGTCCGATGTTCCGATGTGATAGTCTGTGAACACGTTTAAGATCGGCCCCGTCATTACATTAGCTTTGATAGACCACAAATCCTCTCAAAAGAACACCGATTCCTAACAAGGATGATTCCTGAGGCTATTGAAATTGAAAAACATCCTAATTTCAATAGAATTTATTCCTATAAAAAAAAACGAATTTCAATAGAGAAGATGGATGGGTACTGCCATCTGATTGGGATCCTATAAATAATAAAATTAAATCCAAACCCAAGCATACCACTGCAAGACTTCAAGATACTAGAAGCTGGTTCTGCGTAGATCAAACAAAACTTTCATTTAATGTGTAGTCTTCGCGTAAATATAAGAAATCATTAAACGATTCTAGTGTTTAAATTGTGGGCGTGTGCATGTGCTTGTATATGTTCGTGAGCATGTGTGTGGAGAAGGGTGATACCGTCTCTAAACTCTCTTTTTAACAATAAAAGAGGAGTTACAATTACTTACCAAATGTTAAGTTGACAGTGAACGCTGACAGATCAACACTCATATCAATTTTTTTCTCTAGGATCGTGGTTGCAACACAGTTTCGCCCGAACAACGCCAGACGCATGTTTCCGTGCTTTGACGAGCCGGAATTCAAGGTTCCTTTCGATGTGAGCATCGTTCGTCCGCTAGGCATGATTGCCCTGAGTAATATGGCGATCAGTAGAGTTGAAAATATGTAAGTATAAAGAATGTTATCATCATCATCATAATTACAGGAATTCACAAGTCCACTGCAGAACATAGACCTCACCAAGGTATGCCTCTAAGCACGGTCCGGAGCCGCCTGGATCCATCGACTTCCTGCATATCTTGCCAGGTCGTCACTCCATCTAGTGGTACGAATCTGCCAGTCAGGAACCTTTCTTTTCCATTGGATTTTTTATAGGATAGGGTGACAAACGAGCACACAGTCCGCCTGATGGTAAGTGGCCACCGTGACCCATACACATCTACATTTATCCTCAATAAAGAATCAAAATGCAGATGCGTCGTCACCCGTGAGGACTAAGATGGAATGCCTCTTTTCCAGTAAAATGGGTCTCCGGTTCTCTACACTTACCATACGAAAAACAGCAGTGTCTCGCTGCCATTTTACACTGGTATTCTGTGAGAGCGAGGTCCTTCTCCGGTCGAGCCGACCCATTCGTGCTACAACTATACTACTAATATAGCTGTAGCATAGCTCTACCACATATATTGTTCCTACCGTTTCGTTCCGTAGACGGGCAAGATAACCCAGATCGGCGACGAGAAGCAGAGTCGAATGTTTCGTACTGTCGATCGTCAATCTGTCTATCAAGAGCGATGATTATTTCTATAGAATGAGGGTGACAAACGAGCACACGGACCCCTTAATTGTAAGTGGATGCTGTAGGCCATAGGCATTTACATCTATTCTCCATTAAGAATTAAAATGTAGATGCGCTGTCACCTCTGGGAACTAAGATGGAATGCCTCGTTACAAGTAAAAAGGGAGACCCCTTTTCTCCGTTTCTCTACACTCAGCATACAAAACACAAAACTGTAATTAATTATTTAAAAAAGTTCCGTTAGGTTCCTTGCTGGTTATTTCCATAACATAGGTCTTTTTTCGAACTAGTGGTAAAAGCATAAATTACTTTTATCATTATTGCTTATAACCTACTCGTATAATGAATAAAAACTATTATTTCGTGTTCGGTTTTATTTGATAATAAAGTGCTATTTGTTTTGCTTCTTCTGGATTCCAATAACATTTTTTTATAGAACGGATGAACCAAATGCAGAGCTCGTTCATTTCAAACGATCACCTCCGATGTCGACATTCACAATGGGTTTCGTCTTGGCAGACTTAGTGCAACTTGGAAATTCAATTCAATATAGTGACAAAACATCCAATAATTTCGGTAAGTTTTTATACTGACCGCTGTTAAAGAAGTTAGGCTTTAAAATTGTAATAAACGTTATGTCATTTCCTTCCGCTGCGGTACTGAGGGCCGCTAGTTGGAATCCCGTACGGAACAACTTTTTGTTAGTACGCAAGTCAGACCTACAAAGAAGGATAGACGGAGCGCTGCCTATATTTCAACACTGAAACCAGGCTAAGCTTCTTGGCTCTCACTCACGAACACATTTATCTTCTTTCTTTCTTTATCAGCCGTAAATGTTTATTGCTAGACGCACACATATGCACCCAAAACCATGTGGATTGGAAAGGGAGAAATGTATCGTGTAGAAAAACGAAAGGCTGGCTAATTTGGCGCCTGTGCTCAAGACAGGTAAGATTAGATCTAACCGGATTGTGACCACCAATAAACCTATTGTTGTAGAAAGGTATTATTTTAAACTACGCTAGTGAGGGATAGAACATAAAAATATGACTCTTCCGGCATTTCGTACAGTTGTCTCTTACGATATCTACGGGATGGAAGGCACAATGTCAATTTATAAATGTTTTATCCATCCTAAAATAACATTAAACAACGCCGTACGGGATATGTAGAAGCTTATCGAAGAGAGTTTATCTAAACAATAAGCGAAGATATTTAACGTAACATAGTATAACATAACCTAAACTCTCACATCCGTCACATAGAGGGATAGGCAGAGACTACAGAACATTTGTCTCGATTCTGACCCACGTGGCTCGCATCTTTCACATCTATTTAACTATATAAAAACTATTTCATTTTATTATTTAATAATACATATTGTTTCATTTTAGAAATGCGAGTGTGGGGTCGACCTGAGTATTTAGAAGCTTTGCAGGAAGTTCCAGATAAATTCATTCGAATTTTGAACGAAATTGCCGAATTTAATTGGCCACCATTGCCACTGGATAAGTTGGATATCGTTGCCTTGCCAAACTACCAGGGTGTGAAGCCGACTGATAATTGGGGTCTTATCGTGTTCAGGTAAGTGTAACCGTCTGAGAATAATTTTAATTTAAGGATATTTAAAGTTCAAGGTTAGGTGATAAGACCAGGTTTAAAAGGGCAAACTAAATTGCTTTTGTGACCTTGCGTGTTTGCTGTGTGTTCTCTGAAAAAATCTATAGATTACGGTGTATAATAAAATAGAGATAAAGAATTGAAGTTATAATTTCATGCTACAAACCAATATTAGAAAATATAATGTAAAAATATTGCTTTCTATGTAAGCTTATTTTTTAAAATTGAATAAGGGTGACAAACGAGCATGCATTCCAACTCATGATACTCGTAAGAGGATGGTGAGGCCCATAGACATGCAAACAAAAATCAAAATGCAGATATTTTGTCACGCTCGATGACTAAGATGGAATGCCTCGTTTTCAATAAAAAGGGTCTCCGGTTTTCTCTTTTCTATACTGACCATACGAAACAAAAGCAGCATTATGCTGATATTTCACGTTGGTATTCTGTGAGAGTGTGGTCATTCCTCGATCGTGGCGACATATTCGTATTAAAACCGTAACATGACTGCATCAAAAAACCCCGTTAAAAATACAGGCCATCAAAATCTACTGCTTAACATAGGTATCACCATAGACTCGTATATTCCAGGGTTCGCAGGCACAGTTTTTTTTTTCATTATGAGTTGGTAGGAAGGCACAACCGTATGCCGAATGAATATCTTCTGTAGTTAATAATTTACAAAAAATTACTAATAGCATTACATTCGAAACTATATTTGAAAATAAATTAATTTAAAAACATATTAAAAACAGGTAAAGCTGCACAGCTTCTTGGAAGGTTGTTTATTTTAATCGCATTGTTTGTTTTAATTATAATATAAAGTTAATCATCGTAATCATTACAATTCCCCTCTAGTTCATTATTATTTAGTTGTTATCAGAAAGACGCTGCTGTATTTTAGTCTTCCTCTGTGCTCTTACGATTCTATATGGAATTGTGTATTCTTTTAAAGCGCCGCTACACAGCTCTCTATATAGAAGTGACAAGCGCTGTGTTCATCTATCACTTAGATAATCCTTTGCTCAAATTAAAACGGTTTAAGTTACCAAAAAGAGTTTCTTGAAACACAAATGTGGAACCAGAGTAACCGACATAGCCCAACGGATTAGTAAGCTGAAGTGGCAATGAGCCGGCCATGTAGCTCGAAGAACCGACAATAGATGGGGGAGAAAGGTTCTCAAGTGGCAGCCTGGTACCGGTAGGCGAAGTGTAGCGCAGAGGAGTTTGAGGCCGCGGAGGAAGGTGGGTGTGTTCCCGGTGCCGCTTACCTAAGAAGGAAAAAGGGGAGGAGAAGCTGGGCAGCGGATGTGTGCAAAAGCGTTCCCGTGGCCCTGCCAATATGCGACGAAGGTGGAACACCATGGGGTTTTAGTCGGTTCGAGTCCGACACAACCCGCTCCCGCGAGGTGGGTATGCGTAGGCATTTCCCCACTAGATATGACAACCTGGAAGTCGGTGAATGCAGGTGGTTTAGGATTGTGCTTTGTGCCATTATTTGGGAGAGGCCTATGTTCAGCATTGGGGCTGTGAAGGACTGTAATAATGACGATGATGTTCGCAGCAATTTCATCTAACATAATAAATTTTCATCTTAAGGGAGAGCGACTTGAGTAGCAGTGGACACATCCAGCTAACTCATGAAGTGCTGCATCAGTGGTTGGGTGCCTTGGTCACACCGGCTTGGTGGTCAGATGCTCACGTTAATAAAGCTCTTGTCGGTTACCTCGCTGTTGAAACCGCCTATAAGGTTTGTTTTTTATATGTTATTATTGTTTATGGATAACTTTAGTCCTTATTTAATATATTATCTGTGTATATTTTTTCATAAGGGGGTTTTTTTTCATTGTGTGTTTTAAAAAGTTTATAGTACAGTTCAGTTATCCTATATTTTAAGTGAGCAATTCTTGTAAAACATGTACGTAATTGATGGTAATTTATTTCTCGGACTACAAAAAAAATCCTTACACAATATCAGACCAAGGGCCTCAATTATGCCGGGTTAATATATTTAAAAGCGCTTCGTTTCCTTAACGAGCCGTTTTGCAGTAAATAAAGTCAGCAGTTCAGTGCAGCGTGGTAGAGCCATGCTGCAGCTATATTAGTAGTGTAGTTGTGGCACAAATGAGTCGGCTCGACCGGGGAAGAACCACGCTCTCACAGAATACCAGCGTAAAATAGCATCTTAACGCTGCTGTGTTTCGTATGGTGAGTGTAGAGAACCGGAGACCCTTTTTAATGGTAACGAGGCATTCCATCTTAGTCCTCACGGGTGACAACGTATCTGCATTTTTATTCTTAATTGAGGATAAATGTAGATGTCTATGGGCCGCAGCAACCACTTACAATCAGGTGGACTATTTGCTCGTTTGTCACCTTTATTCTATAAAAAAAATGAAAATCCCGTTCTAACCGACTTAAAAAGGAGAAGGTTCTCAATTCGACTGTTTGTTTATTGTATGTATGTTACGCGATATCTTCATAGACTGAATTGGTGAATGATTATTTTTTTATTTAAGACAAATCAATCATTTATGAATCTTTTAAAGTTTTATTCAGTATAAGTCATCCTAAGTTGCTGAATTAATATCTTTACAAATAAATTAAATTGAAGTGTCTGTTTGTAATGTCAAAATAACAGTTTTTTACTAAATGCATCTGAAAGTATATACGGTACATATAACAAAAACACAATTTTTAAATTTTTTGTCAGTCTATCTGTCTGTCTGCCTGTTTGTTCAGGCTAATTACCGAAATGAGTGGACCGATTTTAATGGGATTTTCACTGGCAGGTAGCTGATGTTATAAGGAGTAATTTAGGCTACTTTAATTAAAAAAAATTAGGGTTCCGCGCAAAAATATTAAAACCCTAAATTATACGCGGGCGAAGTCGCGGGGAATAGCTAGTTTGTAATATATAGATACTGTATGTAATAAAACGGATCGTTACGGAGAACGAAACGTTTCTTAAATATAGGAATCGGGAGCCAGAGATTTTTTAAGCAAATTCATACTTTAACTGTTGCTTAACACCTACTAGACAAAATTAAAATAATTTTAAAAACTATTTTTGTTAAAAACTATTTTAAAACTATCGTATTTAACGTATCTTCAATGCTTGCTGTTTCAAAGTAAAGGCTCCATAAAACTATCGAAAAGTTATTAGATAAATGTATAACTACAAGCTGTAATACTATATTTCACTCCCTCAGGTTGAATTTTCCAAAATCCTTTCTTAGTCTACGTCGAGAGAGGAGTATATGATGCATAATTTCAAGTCAATTGGGTGTATAGTTTTGGAAATCTCGTGATGAGTGAGTGAGTCAGTGGTATTTCGCTAAATAAATATATAGAAGATAGATTCAGAAGAACATTCCCTATTAATTAATATTACTTGCATAAATTCAAGGCACACGTAAATTAACTCTAATGAAAAAAGGTTATTATAAATAAATAATTAAAATCATAAGAATGCTTTGATATAATGAGGTAAAATTGTAAATGTTTGGAGTGGAATAGTCTACACATATGATATTCTTGCCGCTTCTTCTCACAAGGTCCTCCGCCGTAGGCATTTGTTGCAGCGATCGTGTAGTTTTTGACTTCCAGAAAGTGCGTTGTAAAGGCCAATAGTAAATAAAAATATTTTGACTTTGATGTTGCCTTTGGAAATAACTCTAACGATTAAAACTGTTACTATTACATTTAAGAAAAAGTAATAATAAATTTAAATATCCCCCAGACCAAATTTCGGTCAATCCGGCCAGTCTCAACGATGACTAGCCATTTGCGCAGGACAGGATTACGGTGGTCGAGTGTTTGCGCAAACACAGCTACACTCTCTATTTCCTTACTCTTATAATTCGATAACCGGGGGGAGACAGGCACAGGAGCAACGGCCTTACGTGCTTTCCATGGCACGAGGGTGAAACACCACCAAATTCCTGACTCCGGACTGCTATTGAGGCTTTCATGACAGGAAGACCCCATAACTGATTTTCACCCGACCCGTGATTCGAACCCGAGGCCTTATGATTAGCTACCGCTTTATGTCAGACAACCTATTCAATATTATGCCATGGTATTTCTGAAAGTTTCCTATTCGTTATACGTAATTCTTTAAAATAAAGTGTACAATCGATGCACTACATGATCAATCAACCTTGAATTTTTTATATTTTTTCCAGATCGATGTGTGGAAATGTTTTAGTTTTTGAGGTTTTTATTACTTTGCCGGTTAAAAGTTAGGGTGTTTTAAAGAAATGCAAGTTATAATCTCGTTCTAATCCAAAGTCCCGAAAATTTAAGCACGAGTTACAAAATTGTTTTCAGTCCCTAGAAGGTTGCGTTGCAGTGAACGATATGAATGACAAGCTCGTGAAAACTGTCCATACGGTTGGAGCTAAGTTTCGCAATGCCCGCCGCAGAAGAACACAAAACTCTCCGATCACGCTCTTAATCTCATGACTGTTAGACGGGAAATGAAGCTGCAGACTTCAGCAGATTTGACAGCATACAGGCAACTGAACAGACAGATCTCCAAATGCATGCGGCGAGACTTACGCAACTTCAATACAGCTTGTAATAAAGAAACGATCAAGCGGAACCACGGCTCCAAAGTCTTTGCCAGAGATCTGTTTTCCAGAAGAGCCAACTATCAAATCTAAATACTGAGTGTGACAGCATCGTTTCCGGGACACCTGAGATTTTGAGTGAGATTGAGAGATTCTATGGGCAGCTCTAAACATCATCCTTGGAGCCACAAGCAAGTGTGGGTGACGATCCAAGAGTAACTCTTATCAGACCCTATTCCGATAATATTCCGAACGTCAAAATGAGTGAGATGGAAGAGATGGATGAGAATGGCTCTCCAGCACCTTAAAAACGGCAAATCCCTGGGTGAGGATGGAATTACAGCGTAGCTTTTGAAAGCGGGTGGAAAACCGGTACTTGAAGTCCTTCAGAAGCTCTTCCATTCCGTCCTCGATGGTGGCACTACACCGGAGGCGTAGAGCAGAAGTGCGGTGGTCTTGTTCTGAAGAAGAAAGGCGACAAAGCTATCTTGATGTTGTTTCTATGTCGGTAGTTGTTGGGAGTACTAAGGTCGAATTTGATGACGAGTATGTTTATCTCAGACAAATAAAGTCCAACTTTGACCAAGAGGTCAATCGGCGGATTCAACTCGACTGGGTAGCGTTCGGGAAATTACGACACATCTTCTCGTCAGGTATACCTTAAAACCTGAAAATGAGATTGTGCAACCAGTGCGTGCTGCCAGTGATAACTTATGGATCGGAAATGTGGTCCTTCACAGCTGGCCGTATGAGAAAGCTCAAGGTCGCTCAGCGAGCTATGGATAGGGCTATGCTTGGGGTTTCTCTGCGTGATAAACTTAGAAATGAGAATATCCGCAGTAGAACCAGAGTGACCGACATAGCCAAAGGTGGTAAAATCAAACAACCGTTAATAGGTATTAGAAAAGGCTGTAGCCGTCAGTGACGGCTTCTGCTACTACTACGCCTCCATGGCGCAGTGGCTTAACCCTAGAAACCTACACTATCCGGCGTACTTGTTATTGCCACAGAGGGGTGCTGTGGTACCCTATACTAAAACATATGAATGTATTTTTTTTAAAATAAAAACCAATTAGTGAAACTATTAGTTTATTATGAAATAGTAGCGACTTGAGATTACAAATCAGTCTCAAAATCTAAATTTAATATGAATTTGAGCATTTTCACAGACTCCATCGATTGCTTCATATAAATTGTTATTTTACGCCTATGGTACGTCGTATTGCTTTTTCTATTCTTAATTCTTGGGAAAAAGTTAAAGCAATGTTATGTATGACAACAAAACTTTGATTAGCCGTAGTTTTTTTTAAAGAAAAGCTATAATTGACTATTATATATTATCCCTTCTCAAATTTGGTTTTTAAAAGTTCCAAAGCTCCTTTCTTTACAAATTCTAAATCCATTTTTGCGTCATAAGTCATAACTTTTTCCCGCTAATTATTTGCTCTTGCAATGATTGCCCATCACACGCCAAATTTGATTCTCCATCGCCATTTATGTTCGTTGTGCATTCCTTTTACAAAAATAACTCTTTTAATTATGATTTTCATTTATTAATAAAAAATAAAATCATAAAAATAATTCCATCAATATAAGAAAATAAAAATACTTACGGTATTCCTTCACTGGGGAGCTGATATACCCCACGTTAATCGTTGACACCTCCACACAGCGCGACTGTCGACGCTAGTCCAATTAATTAGGAGTGGACGATACTAAACTAAAATATATAATATATGTAAATTCAAATATGTAGATATAGCATAAGCAGAATTATTTAAGAAACAAACCTCCCTGGGGTGCCCCAGCACTTCATGTAGAGTTCTAGGGTTAACATTAAGTTCGGCGATGAGGGCTATAACAAGTATTTGTATGTTCTACAGTTAATTGTTCCGGGTTAAGATGTTTGTCCTTGTGCAATTAACGTATGTAAACTGCCTCCTCGAGGCTCCTATCCTAAGATAATCCTAGCGTGGGGAAAAGTTTTAAAAGAAATACTGGTGGGAAGAAATGTAATTAAATTCTGGCTTCCAGTTTTAATTACGTCACGTGAGGATTACTGAAGTAGGAGTATGTTAAATAGGTGCGACCCGAAGGTTTATATTACAATGGAAGTGAGAAGAAATTGACAACCTGAAATATGAAATAAGAACACCATTAAGTTACTACATAATAATTAATGATCTGACCATAATCTTTACTTGCATTAGTAAATAGCACATAATATAAATTGCAAAATTCGTTTGGTTTTTCATTTCTAGGCTAATTTTGATTAATACTTAATTAAGTTCGACTTACGCCCAAGCCTATTTAATTTCTTTTTGCTAAGATATTGAAAAACCCTGTAAAATTATGTTGCTCATACCATTTACAGATCAACAGAGGATGCGAGATGGAGGTCAAATGGCCAATGACCTTCCTGTACTCTTTATACTACGAGTACAGCAAGCGATACCCTCATTCAAGAATCACAGGCATGAAGCAAGAGACAGTTAGCACTAAGATTGAATTGCTGTTTCGGATGTTCAATTACACACTCGGCGATGAGACGCTTAAGAAGGGATTAAAGATGTTTGTGACCCAACGGTGAGATCTTGGACTTATCCCATCGTATATAAATGCTTCGTTTGTGTTTGATGATCGTATTGTTTTCTTATTGAATCATTTATGGAAACGCTAACATAGTCATAGACACGCACGCCTATCACCCAGAGGGGAAGGCTGAGACATTGGACTTCCGTTTGGCACGATCTTGACAAACCTCTCTTGCTTACTTCACCACAATACCTACGCAGACATGCTCGTCAGTTAAAAGTAGTCTACTAGTCGATACACTTCCGTCTAGGACATTCCTTGCCAACGCCACCATTCATTTCTATAACATATTTTTATTTGTAATTCATTCCACATTAATTCTTTCGACATGACCAAACCACCGAAGCATTTATTAATGCTTACATCTTTCAAACTAAACTTTTTTCTTATCACACTATTTATCTCACTGTCATTCAAAGTCATACCTAACATACTCCTTAGTGACAGTATTTCTATAGCATTTATTCTTGCAGGGACTAACACAGCATTGTGAATTGCCATTTGTACCTTTTTTGACACATTTCTGAAGTTTAAGTATAGCTTTGTGTTTTTATTTTATGATAATTGATAGAACCAGGCGTTACTTTGCGGAAATCCATTATAATGGGATTGTTATAAAATAATTTGCTTAATTTCGCGTAAAGAAAGAAAATTATAATATTATATATGTCCTGCCCAGTTTTAAGGGGACCTCCCACCCTCCCTCAATCGCGCGCACTATACCCGTCACCGTTACTCCCAGCACTACCACCCTCAGCACCACCATACTAGGCACGACACACCACTCTTGAAAATACGACACGTGTTTCACCCCTACACGAGGCATCCTCAGGTGAAGTAGACTCTGCGGAGGCTGGCCGCTAAGCTTAGCCTCCTCCGAAGAGTGGTGTGTCGTGCCTAGTGTGGTGGTGCTGAGGGTGGTAGTGCTGGGAGTAACTGCGACGGGTATAGTGCGTGCGATGGAGGGAGGGTGGGAGGTCCCCTTAAAACTGGGCAGGACACATCATTTTCTTTCTTTACGCGGAATTAAGCAAATTAGTTTATAACAATCCTATTTTTATTTTATTTTGTTGCGAGCAGCAATGCAGGTCTTGAAAGACCAGTATCACTGCGACCTATAAGATCTATTCTGATCGCTGCTATGGTTATAGTTCACTGTTAAGCCCCATGTCTTCAATTAATTTCTATTGAGGAGTTGCTTAGCTGTGAACAATTGTACTTCTTCTGGACGAAGTACATAGTTTCCCAGATGAGTGCTACAGTTGCGCATTAAGGGTTCACAATCAGTTAGGATGTGCAGAGGTGTTTCTTTCGTTAAGGAACAGAACCGGCACATCCTGAGTTGCTTAGTCCCAGGATGCACATATGCTTTTTTAAACAACAGTGTCCAGTCAGGGCTCTTGCCAGAATACGCAGTTTATTCTTACTTCATCCCAGGGCTTCTGAAGCGAATTTATGATCATAAGCCCAGATTAAGGTTTTAGAATGTTTTAAGCCTGGTATATCAGACCAAAAGTGATTTATTGTGATTGTTACGGCCTACGGCTGCTCCCATAAAGGTCAAATCCTCAGGGGCCCATTCAGCTGAGTTTCGACGAGCAGACATACGTCGGGCCTCCTAAGGCCAAAGTGGAAAATCTCTAATTACACTAAACTATATGGGGGAGCGTTCTATACTACGGCCATTCAACCGGGAGAATATTAGACGGAGCTTACTTACCGATATCCAAGGCGACTGGTCCCTCCGGAGTCAGTCAGGTCGCATGTGGTTGTGTAGTGCAAGGGAAATAAGGTGATGTGATGTGTATCTGGGTGTGACTGATGGTGATTGACCTTAGTAGACCTTGGCCGTCGGCAGCAGCCCGGGCGTCGACACCGTTCCAAATTGAGGTAATCTCCCGCGGCGTTGTTCACAGTCACTTTCCTCGTTCGTCACGATAACAGTCCATTAACTCTATCGTACTATTAACTAACTTACAGAAGCCACTAACTCTCGTTTGTTATAAAGCCTAACGCACAAAATGAACAGGGAGTGTCCGGATCAAAGGTCACTCCCGCTTCGCGTAGCAACATTTATTTCTAGAATATCAAAGGCCGCACTAGATAATATTGTCGAATGCACCTATACAGATTCCGAGTCAAACCCAATGAGTCCCGGGAAAGCTTTACAGCAAGGAATACGCGTCACAAATCCTAGTCAGTACATTTACTAGCCGCGCCTAATTATTCCGAGTTCCCGAACAAAAATTGACAGCGTGCTGGCGTTAGCACAGCCGGCAGACGACTGCTTTTTCGCTCGCGACCCGCGCGCTCTTGCCACGCTCGGCCGAACTTCAACCGGTACCGCGCCGAGCCGAGTGCCCTCTGGCGTCGATTCTTGACATTAGCGCTTGGCGCGAACAGTGATAAAGAGTTTCAAAGGTCAATCGGGCTAGGCTTTCTGAGATTCCATAAAATGGCTCGGGTCCAAATTGTGTACTCTTTGAGCCCTCCTGTGCAAGTATAGTGTTAGTTTTATAAGCGGTAGAGCTACACTGCAGCTATATTATGGTTGTAGCATGAAAGTGCCAACTCGACCGGAGTAGGACCTCTCTCTCACAGAATACCAGCTTAAAATAGCAGCCTAATGCCCATGTTCTACCATTTTCTAGCAAACTTTTTCTACTTGTCACCCCATATTCTACCAAATAGTCCTAAACACTGCATGCATTACTATCATAAGTTAAAACAATGGGGAAATATGGTAGTTAACTGCAAAAAGTGGTATAGGTACAAAAACTACGTCGAACTGATGAACTAACATAATATAGCTGTGGTCATTTCTAGAGCTTAGAGCGAATTGCGGCGTAATATACCTACTCGTACTACGGTCGGAGTATATGTTTTATTTCTGTTTCTTATTTCGTATGGTTATGCTTATGTTCGTAGTGCACGCAGCCAAGTTTTCGATTATTTAATGTTCGTGCGTACTGTATTCCTCTTTTTTGTAAATATCAATGATTACTAGTTGATGGCATTAACGTAAGTTTGAAGGCTAAGTGATGTACACCTTATTTTATAGCAATATGGTATTAATTTTGATGATAATGCTGGTGCTGGATAATGTTGTCCTTTGATTTCATCAGTTCGCTGAACCAACCGTGATTTCTCACACTTCGATCCTCAACCAGACAACTTTCATGCTCAGTTAATAATAATAATAGACACGGGAAATACTTTTGCGATGATTTTTGAAGATTTTTGTCGCATCCAATAGTAGTCACTAAATAATAGATGACAAAGTCTGATGAAATGACTTATCCACACCTGTGTGTCTGTTCACTTAAAACATAAAAAGTACTGAATGGATTTTGATGAAGCTCTTACCATCATTGAAAGAATTTCTACTAGAAAAGATTACAGGTGGTAGGAGTACTTTTCTAGCTAGGATTCCGCCTGGGTAGGGACCACCCCCTTACCTATTTCTACCAAATAGCAGTGCTTGCTCTGCTGTGTTACAGTCGGATGAATATAGAAAGCCAATATAATTACAGATTGTGAGATATTCCATCTTAACCTTTTTCTTTTATAGGAGAGAGGGCAAACGAGCATACGGCTCACCTGATGGTGACTACCACTGCCCATGAACAACTACAACACCAAGGTAATTGCAGGTGCGTTGCCGGCCTTTTAAAGAGGAGTAAGCTCTTATCTTGAAGGCCCTTAAGTCATATCGGTCCGGAAAAATCGCCGGTGGTAAACTATTCCACAGAGAGGTCGTACGCGGCAGAAAACTCCTAGTAAAACGTACCGTGGTGGACCGCCATCCAGATGGTATGGATGGTATCGGGAATTTTGCCGCGATGTGCGTTGATGAAACTTGGCGGCTGGGATTAATCCAAACAATTCCCCGTGGTAAATGCGAAAGAAAATACAAAGGGACAACATCAACATCTCTTCACAGCGCTAGTGAATCGAGCCGATTGGAAAAGACTTGGTCGTCAAGATTCGAGCCACTCTGCACTGGATGCGGTCAAGTTGGACGAGCTGGCTCTGGGAAGCACCAGCCCAGAGATGGGAACAGTATTCCATGTGAGGCCGAACCTGCGCCTTTTAAAGTTGCAGGCCCGCTCTGCTGAGCACGCCAAGTTTTGGCCTTCTCTTCCAAGTGACCACGAAACTGCACGCCACTCGATATGTCAACGCCGGGGATTCCGATACTGGCTGAGGCAACAAGGGGAGTGCCTTGAAACTGTGGAGATACGACAAAAGGATTTTTTGCCGTAAACGCGCAAACTTGTGTCTTCTCAGGCTTAAACTGAACTAGATTTAGTCCTTCCGTAATCCGAGACTTTATTCAGAAAAAACTCGACTGTCTTTGCTGAACAAACTTTCGGACAACTCTCTGTGTGTGTCTGAAGACAGGTTTGTTCCGATACTCGGCGACGTTTTCCCGAGAAATATTATCACGACCGGTGTATAGAACATCACCAGTGCTGTTATCCGCATAACAAGGAATGTTACTTGTTTGCAACATATCATTGATATGCAGAAGAAACAGCGTTGGTGATAGCGCGCAGCCTTGTGGAACACCAGCGTTAATAGACTTGTAGTCGGAGCATACACCATCTACAACGACCTTGATGCACCGATTTGTAAGCAAACTGGTGATCCAATTACACAATTTCTCGGGACGCCCATAGGAAGGGAGTTTCGAAAGAAGCGCTTTGTGCCAAACCCGATCGAAGGCATTCGCAATGTCCAAACTAAAGGCCAATGCCTCTTCCTTGGACTCTACTGCCTCCGCCCATCTATATTTCAGGTAGACCAGAAGATCACTAATCAGCTGGTGATCCTCAATGTACCACATAAGCTGGCAGTTTATTATGGATTCCATTATTTTGAAGAACAAGGAGGTGATGGCGATAGGCCTGTAGTTAGACGGGTCTGAACGGTCGCATTTTTTTGGGATCGGGTGGACAAAGGCCGTCTTTAATGATTTCGGGACTAAACCTAGGGAGTAGGAGTACCGGAAAGGACGCGTTAGAACCGATGCCAGGAGCGGAGCACATGTCCTCAACATAATTGAGGGAATTCCGTCAGGCCAACACGATTTGTGCATGTCCAGGGAGAGGAGTGCTTTGCGAACCGAGTGCTCTGAGAACCGCACATTCGGCATAGTGCCCTCACACCGCGGGATAGCCGGCAGTGTGTTCCCCCGTCATCGAGGGTTAAGTTGGACGCAAAGAAAGAGCCCAGCAGATCGGCTTTCTCCTTTGCAGCATGGGCCAGCGAGTCGTCCTCCCTGTGCAGAGATGGAAGAGATGGCTGACAGAAGTTCCCTTGGACAACCTTGGCGAGAGACCAGAATGCACGGGTTCCCGAAGGAAGGCGAACTCTGCCTATGTGTTCTGACTCTGCCTTGGTAATGACTCTTTTGAGGGACCTGGAGGCGGAATTATACTTTTTTTTTTGAGGGCGCCGGTATTTACATCCATTGATCCGTTGATGCGTCAGCAAAGGCCCGGTAGCAAACAGATCAAATAGAAACAATTTACTGTGCATTTGTCAGTTCAGTTTTATGAAAAAAAATCTTAAGGTGATTCGTGAATACATGCTTATTTTATGTAAGAATAGTTACGAAATGTGTTTTGTGACTAAGTCGTAAAAAGATAAACCATACTGGCAATTCGGTCGCATGCGAAGTCGGGTCAAGTTATTAGTATTATCACAAAATATATAATATTACTGGCAGTATTATTATCCAAAAATGAATTGATTTCGCTTAGACAACATAGAATCAACTACTATTACTCGTTAAACATAATAGAATATGTTCAAAGAATTTCAAGTACTCCTCTCACTAAAGATTGTTCAAATCTGAAAAGCTACTTGAATTAACTAGAAAAGAGGATGTTGAAATCTTGAAGTTTTGAAAGTAAGTTAGTTTCTGTTAGAATCCTCTCAAACAACGTTATTGTATGAAGACGAACTTTTTCGGATACGCAGTTTCTCTTGCGGAGATGTGAGTGGTTGTGAATTTTTATTAGTTTTACACTTTTAGTTATGTAAGTTCCATTTGTCTTTTGTGGGATTTGTAAAAGTTTGTCAATGTTTGTTAGTTGAGTAAATATCTCTTTCCGTATTTTTTTAATACGATAGGGTAACAAACGAGCACACAATCCACCTGATGGTAAGTGGTTGCTGCGGCCCATAGACATCTACATCTATCCTCGTTTGCGAATCAAAATGCAGATGCGTTGTCACCCGTGAGGACTAAGATGGAATGCCTCTTTTCCAGTAAAAAGGGTCTCCGGTTCTCTACACTCACCATACGAAACACAGCAGTGTTAAGCTGCTATTTTACGCTGGTATTCTGTGTCAGCGTGGTCCAACCCCGGTCGAGCCGACCCATTCGTGCTACAACTATAATACTAATATAGCTGCAGCATGGCTCTACCACGTAAAAAAAATATAAGTTCCGTTGCGTATTATATCGCGGAACTTGCTTTTTTTTTTTTTACAAAACGGTATTTTTGAATTTGAATATGTTAGTTTTAAACACAACATTTCACGTTATTTTATATTTCAGGTACATGTGCAATTTCTTTCTTTTCTCTCACTTTGTCTTTTTCTTGTTTAAAGTGAATTCGGCTTTCCTGTGGACTTTCATATCTTCGTTGTCAATGATAACGAATCATTGACATCAATTTTAATAAATAATTTGCTTTTGAATTTTAATAACACGAAATGTATTAAATTCACTACATCTACTAAGTGTAGTGTGCTTTTAAATGGGGAGGAGATGGGTCTTGTTAGATCCACTGTTTTTCGGAATTACAGTTGACGCGAAGCTTCAATGGGACCCTCATATATCTAAACTAGCTAGCAAATTCTGCGGCATATGTTGTGAAAAAGATTAGAGATCTTAAATCATGTGTTGAAACCGCTAGATTAGATTATTTTAGTAATTTCCATAGCCTAGTGTCATATGGAATGTTGCTATGGGGTAATACGACTGACATTGAAACTATCTTTGTTTTGCAGACGAGAGCCATACGAGCAACTTATAACTTAGGTCCGAAAGAATCTCTTAGAGAAAAAAATAAAGAAATAATTGTAATAACTTTGGCCTCTCAATGTTTTTACGAAAATTTAATGTATGTATACAAAAACAAAAATAGTTTTATTAATAATAGTGATGTACATCTAATCTCTTACTGCAGATAGTCTCCAAAAGGGGCGATACCAATCTCGTGAGATTCAATGCCTCCAAAACACAAGCGTGTCTTTTTACCGCTAAAAGGAGCCCGCTCATCCTGGCTCCTACTTTCCGGAATGTATCATTGAAGTACACTGATCGCCTTCAGTTATTAGGGGTTGAATTTTCTCCGAACCTCAACTATGGGCGGTTCATTGAGTCCAGGGCCAAAGCAGTCGCAAGAAAACTAGGTGTCCTTGCAAGGGTGCAACGGTACTTCACGCCGGGGTAGCTTCATACCTTATGGAGTACTGCTGGCTGTCACATATGGGCTAGTGCTGCAAAAAACCACCTGGTAGCGTTGAACTTAGTAGAGAGATGTGCTAAGAGGTTTATTGGTTGAAACCAATCTAGTCAGTCACGAGCACAGGTGCAGAGTAACCAGCCTCTCGGTATTCTATAGGATGCATTTCGGTGAGTGTGCGCAGGAATTATATGCTTTAATTCCTCCCTCTCCTTTCTATCATTGGAGAACCAGGCGCTTCGCGAGTCTTCAATCCTTTGTTTCGACATCGAAATATTCCATGCATGAGAACCAAACGGTTTGCTTCGTGTTTTGTAATGCCTATAGCAAAGGAGTGGAATAAATTGCCGGCGTCTGTATTTCCGTCCGAATACAATCTGGGCGCCTTCAAGACAAGAGTGAATAGCCTTTTGTTACACGAAGACAGTGCAATTAACCATCTAGGGCCACATCAACACTTACTACTAGGTGGGATCGTGGTCAAGAAGTAAAAAAAAAACATCCTGTAAATACTAGGAACAGGTGTACCAGTGTATTTTTTTTTTAAAAACCTTACCTCCACACTAGGATTTTCTCCTGTATCGTGGAGTCCGTTAACATACATAAATTACACAAGGCCAAACATCCACCCGGAACAATTATTTCCATACAAATACTTGTTCCGTGCGGGATTCGAACTCGCGGCCCTTGGCGTTGCAACGTATTGCTAAGCCACTACGCCACGGAGCCGTCAAATACCAGTTATACCAGTGGTAGAGCCATGCTGCAGCTATATTAGTAGTATAGTTGTAGCACGAATGGGTCGGCTCGACCAGGGAAGGACCACGCTCTCGCAGAATACCAGCGTAAAATAGCAGCTTAACACTGCTGTATTTCGTATCGTGAGTGTAGAGAACCGGAGACCCTTTTTACTGGAAAAGAGGCATTTCATCTTAGTCCTCACGGGTGACAACGCATCTGCATTTTGATTCTTTATCGAGGATAGATGTAGATGTCTATGGGTCACAGCAACCACTTACCATCATGTGGATATATATAAAAAAAATTCTCTACTCAAAAAAATCAGTAATTCCTTCATGGGGTAACGTATACGCTTTTAAAAAAAAGTTCCATCAAATATGCAGACTTTATCTGTCAAAAGGTTTAAAATATTTAATAATCATTATCATCATTACAACCCTTCGCAAGTCCAAAATATTTACTAAACAAAAATTGTTTAGTAAGGTTTATTATAATACTAAAGAGTACATGATTGATAATAACCCCCGGGAATGAGGTGATCGCTACCATACTGTTTCTAAATGCTTTCATAACAATTGCATACAATATTATACTGTAAATTAATTTTATTTTTAAAATATGCCGCTGAGTTTCTTGCTGGTATTTCCCAGAATAGCGATTCTTCCACTGGGGTAAATATCTTAAATGATTTTGAATAAGTTTTCTTGTAATCTGTGTGGAATAAAAATAAATCTATTTTATTCTCTTCAATCTTTAAAATATATCAATCAAATAAATTATAATCTAACCGAACGTAAAAGTGTAACAATGGAACTATTTTTTATTCATGCGAATATACTTTTTAATTTACGTTTAAATAATTTAAAAATAAAAATTTTGTACAGCCGACTTCAATATAAGTTATGGTCTGACCTTGATCAAATTCATATGGGACAACACGAGGGGTACCAGCTTTCAAATAAAAAAAGAATCATCCAAATCGGTTCACCCAGTAAAAAGTTATGAGGTAACATACATAAAAAAAAACAAAAACATACAGTCGAATAGAGTACCGTCTCTTTTTTGGAAGTCGGCAGAAAAAAAGAAAGTTGCGATGGGTTTCTTGTTGGTTCTTCCCAGGACAGATGTTTTCTCCGAACCAGAGGAAAAGTAAAAACTTACTTTCAATAAGTATTACATATAATCTACTCGTATATCGAATAAAAATTATTATATTCTATTCTATTTAACATCATCTATGATTCTTAGACTGGTGCATGCATATTTTTGCTTTTGTATAGTTTTTGAAATGTGTATCAAATAAATAGTTCTTTCTTTATTTCTTTTTTCTTGATTATTTGAACCTCTACTTTACTACTGTCTGTTGTGTAACACTTGAGAAATTTATAGTTTTTGTCAGATGTATAAAAAAAAACAAAGGAACTAACGCATTTATAGATAAAGTTCGCATACATCGCAATACAGCCTAATATATTTTATTTTAGCGCATTCCAAACATTCGATGGAGATTTTCTATGGCAATCACTAAACACGGCAGCTTCAGAAGCAGGAAATAGTCAAAAGATAGACGTGAAAGCCATTGCGCAAAGTTGGATTGAAAAAGACAGACTTCCTGTGGTAACAGTTAAGAGAAATTATGATTCGAAAACTGCGGTTGTGTCACAGGTAAGTAAATACTTCTTTGTTTTTATCAACCCGTTATATATAAGTGATTATAGGGAGGATATGCTGGTATTTTTTGGCAGCCGAATTGATTATAGCAAACAATAGGGATTAAAACACCAGCGGAGACCATTTTTACTGGATACGAGGCGTTCTATCTTAGTCCTCAGGGGTGATAACGCATCTGCACATATGGGCCACATCATCCACTTACCTGTGGGCTGTGTGCTCGCTTGTCACCCTCATTCTATAATGAACTTATGATTTGGAAACGTAGTGTATACGTGAGTACCTAGGTTCGATTCCAGGAATATGAAGTCAAATTTTATTTTTTATTTAAAGTATTACGTATTTAGATAAATTTATTAAATATTTTTCTAAATAATAACTAAAAAAATATATTTATTTTTATAACAATAAACCTATGAATTTAGGAAAGAGTGTATTACAGTAGCGCATTTTGTAGAATTATGGATTTCTAGTTTGCACTCGAGAGTACCTGAGTAAAATATATTTTACTCATTCTATAATAAAAACAGCGTTGTATCAGCATAATATTTAACGCTGGTGCTTAATTTTGACGGCGGTCTAGAGATCTAGTTGTATACCTTCAAGACGTAACGCCTTTTGCAATATAATCCAACGTTAAAAGTTACGTTATTTTTTAGTATTCAATAATACCCAGAAAATTATGCGAAACTCAGCTTTTTATATATTTTTTTCACTAAGGCGTTAGGTTTAATATAGCTTTTTTTTTTATTAAGGGAGTAATACTGTTACAGAAACTTTATCTTCGTGAACGCCCGCACGATGTCCCAGATGCCGGTCGAATGTCGTGGTGGATTCCACTAGTTGTGGTCCGTGGTGACAATCTCGACTTTAACTCGACTGCTCCACTGGCATGGATGAAAGACCAGACCTTGGAATTGAACAATATGCCTTCTAAGGAACACTTTATCATTGTTAATCCCGAGGAGATTGGTGAGTGTTACTGAAGGTGTTTACTGCAATCATACTTTTTTTCATCATTCAGTTGTGCGATTAGTTTTTTTTTATAGAATAAGGATGAAAAACGAGCACACAGTCCAACTGATGGTAAGTGGTTGCTGCGGCCCGTAGACATCTACATCTATCTTTGTTTGCGAATTAAAATGCAGATGCGTTGTCAGCCGTAAGGACTAAGATAGAATGCCTCTTTTCCAGTAAAAAGGGTCTCCGGTTCTCTACACTCACTATACGAAACACAAAAGCATTAAGCTGCTATTTTACGCTGGTATTCTGTGAGAGCGTGGTCCTTCCCCGCTCGAGCCGACCCATTCGTGCTACAACTATACTATTAATGTAGCTGCAGCATAGCTCTACCACGTAATAATAGTTTAACTCTGTTCTTTCTATTCTTAATTTACGGTTACCGTTACAGCCTATAGTTGCTAAGCTTGGCAGGCGGTTTAGTATCCACATATTTTTTTTTTTGTATTTTTTAGTTGATAATAGAATGACGCTGCTGTCCATCACCTGGCTTGTTTTCCTCTAGCTTTTTTAAACAAAATTATATTCTTACACTGCCACTTTCTTCAACAAAAGTTTTTTTCTTTATTGATACGTGGTAGAGCCATGCTGCAGCATATCATGGCGACGAATGGGTCGACCGGCGTAAAATTGCAGTGTTTCGTATGGTGAGTTAGAGAACTAGAGAACCTATTTGCTGAAAACGAGGCATTCCATCTTAGTCCTCAGCGGTGACAACACATCTGCGTTTTTATGCTAATTTGAGAATAGGAGAAATGGACTGTTTTTTCGTTTGTTATCCTTATTGTATAAAAAATGTATTACGAAATGCATTTCGGTATTTTTAAAATATCATTTCTATTGTTTCTAAATAATACAAAACAATTTAATTACGTATACACATTACTAAAAAAAGTACCTACGATATTTGAGGAACATTTCACAAAGATCAAAAGAGAAATGTGAAATAATATTGGGTTAAAGACCCAAGATAAATTGATTATAATTTGCATTATGAGAGTTCATTGACATTATATTGAACAGTTTGAGATTTTCTTTTTCTTGTTTTTTTGCCGTGTAGTGGCGGTTAAGAATATCCACTACCCCATATCATCCCGTGGGTGTTGTAAAAGGCGACAAAAGGAAACAGGCCGGAGATGGGCAGCAGCATCTTCCTGATAACAGCAAAAGTACAATAAAAAAAAAACTGCGGTTGCCAACCCGCTCGCCAAGCGTAGCAACTATGGCAAATATCCCCCCCCCCCCAATGATTAGAGCAACAAAGACACGGCCCCCAGTCCCCGGCGGCCCCGCTATTCCTGGCTAGGGTGGCGACCATGGTAACGGCGGGGCAGGGGGTGCTAAGAATCTCCGGTGGAGGTTCGGTTGCCACCTAAGACGACTCGACCTAGCAACATACAACGCACGCACCCTGAGGACTGACGAGAAGATCGTGGGGCTGGAAAAAGAGATAGACAAGTTACGCTGGCATATTATAGGATTATCTGAAGTCCGAAGAGAGGGGGAGGACACGGTAATCCTCGAATCCGGCAACTTGCTCTATCATCGGGTGGGCGACCATCAGTCCCAAGGAGGTGTCGGATTTATCGTCCACAAGTATCTCGTTAACAACGTTGTAAAGATTGAGAGTGTGTCGACGAGGGTTGCGTACCTTATACTAAGAATAACCAAACGGTATTCGCTGAAGGTCATACAGGTTAACGCACCAACCTCGGCACACTCCGATGAGGAGGTGGAGGAAATGTATGAGGATATCTCTAGAGTCATGCATTCTTCCAAAACCCAATATACGGTGTTAATGGGAGACTTCAATGCAAAACTAGGCACAAGAGATAAAGGTGAGCTGAAAGTAGGGAAATTTGGAATAGGGCAACGGAACCCAAGGAGCCAGCAGCTGGCCGACTCATGGAGAAAGAGGGACTCTTTATGATGAACTCTTTCTTCCAGAAGCGGCTTCACAGGAAGTGGACCTGGTCGAGCCCCGACGGTTCCACAAAAATGAGATTGACTTCATTATGACGACCAGACGACAACTGTTCAGTGATGTCTCCGTGATCGCGAGGGTGAAAACTGGTAGCGATCACCGAATGGTTAGAGGCACACTGAACCTAAACGTTAAGTTGGAGAGGTCTCGTCTAATGAAGTCAACGCTCCGTCCCCCTCGTGCTCTGTACCAAAGTCCCGAAACCTTTCAGCTCGAGTTACAAAACCGTTTTCAGTGCCTAGAAAACTGCAATGAAGTGGACGATATGAATGACAAGCTCGTGGAAACTGTCCATGCGGTCGGAGCTAAGTTCTGCAAAACCCGCCGCAGAAGAACACAAAAACTCTCCGATCACACTCTCAATCTCATGGCTGTTAGACGGGAGATGAAGCTACATTCTTCAACAGATTTGACAGCATACAGGCAACTGAACAGACAGATCTCCAAATGCATGCGGCGGGACTTACGCAACTTCAATACAGCTTGTATTGAAGAAGCGGTCCAGTGAAACCAAGGCTCCAAAGTCTTTGCCAGAGATCTGTCTGCCAGAAAGAGCCAACAGTCAAAGCTGAAGACCGAGTGTGTCAGCATCGTTTCCGGGGCACCTGAGATTTTGAGTGAGATTGGGAGGTTCTATGGGCAGCTGTACACGTCATCGTTGGAACCACACGCAAGTGTGAGTAACGATCCAAGAGCAAGTCTTATCCGACGTTATTCCGATGATATACCGGACGTCAGTCTGAGCGAGATTAGAATGGCTCTCCAGCACCTTAAAAACGGCAAGGCCCCAGGCGAGGATGGAATTACAGTGGAGCTTCTGAAAGCGGGTGGAAGACCGATACTTGAAGTCCTTCAGAAGCTCTTTAATTCCGTCCTCCATGGTGGCATTACACCGGAGGCGTGGAGCAGAAGTGCGGTGGTCTTGTTCTTCAAGAAAGGTGACAACGCTCTCTTGAAGAACTACAGACCGATTTCCCTTCTGAGCCGCGTCTACGTACTGTTTTCGAGAGTCATTACGAATCGTCTCGCGCGCAGAATTGACGACTTTCAGCCTCCCGAACAAGCCGGTTTCCGAAAGGGCTTTAGCACCATAGACCACATACATACCCTTCGGCAAATTGTACAGAAGTCCGAAGAGTACAATTTGCCACTATGTCTGGCGTATGTAGACTATGCGAAAGCCTTTGATTCCGTCGAAATTTGGGCGGTGCTGCAGTCCCTTCAGCGGTGCCAAGTTGACTGTCGGTATATCGAAGTGCTGAAGTGTTTGTACAGTAGAGCTACGATGGCTATCCGAGTACAGAACCAGAGTACGAAACCTATCCAATTGCAGAGAAGTGTAAGACAGGGTGAAGTTATATCCCCGAAACTCTTCACCGCTGCTTTGGAAGACGTTTTCAAGCTTCTGGACTGGAAGGATACGGTATTAACATCAATGGCGAGTACATCACTCACCTTCGATTTGCCGACGATATAGTCCTTATGGCAGATTCGCTGGAGGACCTAAGCACCATGCTCAATGACCTCAATAGTGTCTCCCAACGAATAGGTCTTAGGATGAACATGGACAAAACAAAGATCATGTTTAATGTCCATGTCATACCTATGCCGGTAGTTGTTGGGAGCACTAAGCTCGAAGTTGTTGACGAGTATGATTACCTAGGATAAATAGTCCGACTAGGTAAGTCCAACTTCGACCGAGAGGTAAATCGACGGATTCAACTCGGCTGGGCAGCGTTCGGGAAACTAGGACACATCTTCTCGTCAGACATACCTCAAAACTTTAAAACGAAATTGTACAACCAGTGCGTGTTGCCAGTGATGACTTACGGATCTGACGTGGTCCTTCACTGCTGGCCGTATGAGGAAGCTCAAGGTCGCCCAGCAAGCTATGGAGAGGGCTATGTTCGGGGTTTCTCTGCGTGATAAACTTGGAAATAAGGATATCCGCAGTAGAAACAGAGGGACCGACATAGCCCAACGGATTAGTAAGCTGAAGTGAAATTGGGCCGGCCATATAGCTCGAAGAACCGACAACCGATGGGGATGAAAGGTTCTTGAGTGGCAGCTTCGTACCGGTAGACGAAGTGTGCGGCGACCCCCCACGAGATGGAGTGACGACCTGGTAAGACATGCAGGAAGTCGATGGATGCAGGTGGCTCAGGACCGTGCTTTGTGGCATTCCTTGGAGGAGGCCTATGTTCAGCAGTGGACTTATGAAAGGCTTTAATGATGATGATGATGATGTTTTTTTTTATGAGCATGTAACCGTTGACGATTGGCAGGTGGATTGGCAATCGCAATACCACATATCTTGTACGCTGGTTTTCTTTGCCAGTGTGGTTATTTGAAATTGCTAATAGCGCCATCTATCAGTGAACATAAGAACTTTTGATGTTTAAGATATCTTTCATGACCCCCACAGGAGTGATAGGTTCATGAATTCTCTAACATTAAAAAATTAAAGATACGAATAAACAATAATCTATAGATGCAATTCCTTTCAGGGCCTTTCCCAGTCAATTACGATGAAGACAACTGGAATCTTATCGCGGAGTTCCTTAAAACTGAAAGACGAACGAAAATACCGGAGTTGACACGTGCGAAAGTACTCCACGACGCTTGGAATCTGGCGTTCGCGGGAGAGTTATCTTTTGCGACGGCACTGAATATGACACTGTTTTTAAAACACGAAGAAAACCTTCCGGTTTGGGACCCGGTGTTCACTATGATTGATCACATCGACAGGCACATTTGGGATATTCGTGATAAATTTAATGTAAGTTAAAGCAGTTAAGTTAACCACACCATCTGGTGTGGTTCTATAAAAAAGTTGTTTTTATTGTCCCCTGGTTACGGCCTTTCCTTCAGTCAGCATGGAAGCCCAGGTAGCTGGGCATGTTTGGTCTCCCCTGCCAAGCGTTTCAGCCTGGTTGCTCGTTTCTTTAAAAAGTTATTTTTATTGCACCCTAGTGACGGCCTTTCCTTCTGACAGCATGAAAGCCCAGTTAGCATTAATAATATAATAATAATAATTATTGTTACTGGCCACATCGGCCGCTAATTTGGTCTGCCTTGCCAAGGGCTTCAGTCTGGTTGGGTTTTATTTATTTTAAAATATTTAATGTTTGGTTTAAAATTTATATATTACTACAAACAGGTTCCATTTATACTTTCCAACATATTCTGCGATAATTGGCGTAGAAATATTAATTAAATATATTTGACTATTATTAAAATTAAAAACAAATTTGATTTTTTTTCCGCAAACACCAATAAATACTTTGAGATCAAAACTCATTGATCCTGCAAAATTTCAAGATTACTACTAACCTCGGATGCCATAGATTATGTATTTTTTTATAAAACTGAAGTGATATACGAACTTATAGTACACGTGATGGTAAGTGACTATTGCAGTCCATGGAAATCTGCAGCTAACGTCATAATATAGCTACAGATACTTTGTTACTCCTGAGGACTAAGATGGAATTTCTCACAGCCTGCAATTGTACTATCTTTCTATATATACTCTTCAGGCCGAAACACAACAATGCAAGCACTGCTGTTTGGCGGCAGAAAACGGTGGTACCTACCCAGAGGGAGTCCTATACAGAAAAGGAGACCTCCCATCTATTATATTATTATATTTATAATAATAATAATAATTTATTGATCCCAAAACACTTTACATAAAACAAGACCTTATAAAATTTATATAATTAAGACTTAATCCAATTCAATACTATAATTATGGTATCTTTAGCAACTGTGGTAGGTCACAGACCTGTGTTACAGCTGCTAAGCTCTCCCCTTTTAATACACTCGAAATAGAATAACAAAATCATAAATAACACATTTTATACGACGATTCATAAACGATGTAAAGTGGGTAGACGTATAACAATTAGTTAAGTAAAAAATCTGACAAACGGTTCAATAACATTATGGCTATATGTACTAAAAGATTAGTTGTGTGGTACAAAAGCAAGACAGATATGTTATAAATATATCACACACTTATTCATATTCAATTATTATTGCAAAGTTTTACAAGAACTTATTCTAGTTTCCACTTAAAAATAATTGTTTCAACTAGTGAGTAGTGACTCAAATAATATTACATTTCCTCAAAAAAAAAAAACAAAACAAAAGGATTTAAATTACCGATTGTCAGCTTTCTTTATTTAATTACACTTTGCTATAAACTTTACAACCTGGAAAATAATAGGAAGGTAAAAAATAATTTGAATAATTGTAGGCCTACGTCATAAGCCTTCTGAGACCACCATACATTAAACTAACAAAGGATATCGATGAAAATGAAAAGAGTTGGCGACGCAATATGAGAAATCTCTTTAAGACGTTCCTATGTTCGGCTGGCTATAAGCCTTGCATTAAAGATGCGCAAGAACAATATAGCAAGTGGATGAAAGCACAGAATCCTGATGAAGGCAACCCGTGAGTATATATTACACGAATTAATTAATTGTCTTTTCAAACGACTTGAAAAAAGGAGGAGGTTCTCAATTTTACTGTATTTTTCTACCGACTTTAAACAGGAGGAGGTACTCAGTTAGATTTTTTTTATGTGTGTTATCTCATACCTTTTTTTATCGGTAAACCGATTTGAAAGTTTTAGTTTAGCTTTAGTTGCTTCTCATGTGGTCCTATATAAATTTGATCAAGGTTTAACTAATAGTTTTTGACTTATTCTTAATAATTTATATTGAAGTCAGTTGTACAAAATTTTTAATTTTTAATTATTTTATATTTTTTTTCTACGTGAACTGATTTTGATGATTCTTTTTTTATTTGAAAGCTTTCTCGTGTAGGCCCTTATTAATTTGATCAAGATCTGACCAATCGTTTTTGAGTTATCCTTAATAATGCGTATTTAATTGATTTCGACTACATTGATGTTATTCTCATTTTATTTATATTGAAGTCGGTTGTACAAAATTTTTTAATTTTATCACTTGTTAACCGACAGTGAAGCCGAAAAGGAGGACCAATAATAAGGGTGTAGGTTTAGTAGTTATGACTGGTATATGTCAAAACCCCTGTCATAATATCTGTTTTATGTTTGCACATAGATTCAAAGAACATTTAATCATTACGTTTGAAGCGTGTAGTGAAGGTGTAAGAGTATCCACTACCCCATATCGTCCCGTGGGTGTCGTAAGGGGCGACAGAGTGAAAGTGAAACAGAAGATTTTAACGTGGTAGAGCCATGCTGCAGCTATTAGTAGTATAGTTGTAGCACGAATGGATCGGCTCGACCGTGGAAGGACCACGCTCTCACAGAATACCAGCGTGAATAGCAGCTTAATGATGTTGTGTTTCGTATGGTGAGTGTAGAGAACCGGAGACCCGTTTTACTGGAAACGAGGCATTCCATGTTAGTCCTCACGGGTGACAACCCATCTGCATTTTGTTTTGTAATCGAAGATAGATGTAGATGTCTATGGGCCACAGGAAACATTTACCATCTGGGTGGGCCCCAGCAAGCACTTACCATCATATGACTGTGTGCTCGTTTGTCACCCTTATCCGATAAAAAAGATGGGTAGCTTTCTGATAATCATTCAAAATTATAAAAAAAACTGCGATTTCCAACGCTAGTGCCTAGCGCGGCAATTGTGACAAAATCCCCCCTATGAGACAATCTATGGGGGAGACCTATGTTTTGACGACTCCGTGGCGTTGCAGTGCTTAAGGACGCGGGTTCGAATCTCGTCCGGAACAAGTATTTGTACGGCCTACAAATAATTATTTCGGGTCTGTATGTTTGTCTTTGTACAGTTTAGGCAGTTAACCTCCACGATACAGGAGAAAGAAAACCCTAGAGATAGCGTTTTAATAAATAAATAAATATGTTAAAATTTTATAGACTGTTGTGGATGTACATATGTGTGTGGTGCCGGGTTAGAAGCACCGCTCCAACTCTTTCCGTAGGTGTTGTAAAAAGTGACAAAGGAACAAATCCAGGGAATGGGCAGCAGCGTTCCTTGTTAATATAACACCTTGGACTGCGTTTGCCAACCCGGCTGCCAAGAGTGGCGAGGATGGCATTTACCCCCCTTACTGGGGGAGGCCCATGTCCAGCGGAGGACTGTCGTGGCTAAAGTGGTGGTGATGGATGGATAGATGATTACGTTTTACATAATTTTTTGATTGTTAGTTAGATTTTGACAAATATTTACAAACTTACAGTATTTTGATTCTTATTGCAGGATAAATATAGATGTCTATAGGCCACAGAATCCACTTAACATCACGTGAACTGTCTGTTCGTTTGTCACCCTTATTCTATATAAACAAAGTGCTTACCACAAGTAAAGCCTGCTCGACTTCGTGAATTGCAAGAACTATACTTGTGTGTTAACACAAACTAGCTTCATTTGAAATTTATACTACGACTTTGCTGCAGTAACGTACGTCATAGCAATTTTAAAAATATTGTAGCAAAGTATATCTTTATATATATAAATTACGTGTCACGTTGTTTGTCCGCGATGAACTCCTAAACTACTGAAATGATTTCAATGAAGTTTTGCACACTGAGTGCAATTTGGTCCAACTTGAGAGATAGGATAGTTTTTATCCCGATAAGTGACCGTCAATATTTTTTATTACTATTTAAGTATTTTTATAGGACACAGGGTCGTCGGAGAGGGCAGAACAACGTCTGCCTGGCCAGCTAGTATTTGTATAAATATATGTATAAATTTCAAATGAAGCTAGTTTGTGTTAACACACAAATATAGTTCTTGCAATTCACGAAGTCGAGCGGGCTTTACTTGTGGTAAACACTTTTTTTTATATAGAATAAGGGTGACAAAGGAACACACAGTTCACGTGATGTAAAGTGGATGCTGATATATAATTATACAACTTTTTTCTCAGGGTCTCTGATCGTTATTTATGTCCCGTTTTCCGATGGGGAACGCAAGAAGAGTGGAATTTTGGTCTTCAGAGAGTTATAAATTTCCCCCCGTCTAGAAAACAGAGTGAGAGAACCTACCTCTTGAAGACACTGTCGGGTTGCTGCGAGGACAAGTACAAGCTCACGAGGCTGTTAAATATAACACTCCTGGAAGAAAACGGCAACTTTACAGAGAGGGATATATTCCTCATCAACAACATGTTTTCAGACGAGCCCGTGGGTCATACGACTCTCCTCCACTTTATAGATGATAACTGGAACATTATAAAACAAAAGTGAGTATAAATGATTCTCATTATTACTTAAATACCACACAACATATAATTAAATGAAATATATTTATTTTTTCGACGTATGAAAATAAAATTTCGTTTGTTAAATTTTATCTATACAAATAAATAAAATTGAAGTGTCTGTTTGTTATGTCAAAATTATAGAGTTTTCCTAAATGCATATGAAAGTATATACGGTACTTATAACAAAAATACAATTTTTAAAGTTTTGTCTGTCTCTCCGTCTGTCTGTCTGTTTGTTGGAAACCGCTGAACCGATTTTGACGGGATTTTCATTAACAGATAGCTGATGTCACAAGGAGTAACGTAGGCTACTTTTATTTTAGAAAAAGAATCAGGGTTTCGCGCAAAATAATTAAAACCCCAAATAACACGCGGGCGAAGTCGCGAGGAACAGCTAGTTTATTTATAAAAAAGAATTCTCTTTCGTTTCGAAATGAGGTTCCTCTGGAGATGAAACAGCGACAGAAAAATAGATCTCTGCATAGCAAACCCGTTGAAACTTGGTTTCCCAGGGTGCGGATAAGCTAAAAAGATCTTATGTCTTCTGAGAGGCGGCGGTACAACCATGTCTTTGCGCCAGGCGTAAAAGGTGGATGATACCGTTGAAGGGGCGCAGCGTCAATCTACCTGCCTAGCGTGATGACGAGTGATTACTATTGACTAATGTCCAGCAGTGGACAGAACAAAACTTTTACAGAATTAATCGCCTTTAATTTTGACTTTTATTTTTGGTCCCAATGATTTGAGTGTTTTATAGCACATATGACTACAAATCATTGTTTCGGGTGTAAAGTATGTTTGTGCTAGTGAAGTATACGTATGTATACTTCACTAGCACTAGCACTTCTCGATACATGTGAGTTGTAGGTGTAGGTAACGTTTAGGTTAAGAGGCTGTAATTATTTTACGTGGTAGATCCAAGCTGCAGCTATATTATGGTTGTAGCACGAATGGTTTTGGCTCAACCGTGGTAGGACCACACTCTCACAGAATACGGGCGTAAATGACAGGACGGCTTAATGCTGCTGTGTTTCGTATGGTGAGTGTAGAGAACCAGGGGAACCTTTTTACTGGAAACGAGACATTCCATCATAGTGCATTTTGATTCTAAATCCAGGATAAATTTAGAAGTCCATGGGCCACAGCATCCACTTACAATCAGGTGGACTATATGTTCGTTTTTCTATAACAAAAAATAAATCAATAATACTGGTACATGTTAACAATTCAACTATATATTTTATTTGTTGCTATAGATACTACCACAGGACAAATCTCTGGTCACACTTGATATCGACCGCTACATCATACTTCACGACAAAAGCCGGCTTGGACCTGGTCACTCAGCTATACGTAAAGCATCAAGGTGAATTCGGGCCTGCAGAGCACATTATTGAGAAAGCCATAAGAAACATCAAAGAAGAATCTAAATGGAGCAGCCAAAACTTGCCAGTCATGGAGAAATGGCTTGACGATTACCTCGAGAGAAATGGAGTCAAAGTTGAAAAGAAGTATTAGAATAGGGTGTTTTATATCGCTGTGCGACATTGTTATAAAACTAAGTTATAACTTTGTTACTGATGTGACCATACATTGTATATACGTGTATATTTTTAAGAATCTTCTAATAAAATGTTTGATTAATAAATGTATTTAATAAAAGTAAGTAAATACGAGTGGTTTTATTTAACTTATTGGAATGAAGTTATCCACTTGGCGGATGGGGGCTAGGCGAAAAAATGTGTAAGAGTTTTCTGTCACGACCTTGGGGGTTATAAGGAAACTGGATGGAATAATATCCATCTCCCCCGGATCCCTCCATCTGGATGCAAGTGGTGATGAAGCCCTAAATAGTAAATCTGGTTGTGCGATTGTGGACAGGGTAGGTAAATTAATAAGAAGTTAGCAGAATTTGGAGACAAGAAAAAGTATACATAGTACCGATTGTGTTATCAACTACAGGAATAATCCCAAAACATCTTCACCACAGCCTCAAACTATTAAATATATAAGAGAATAAATACATACAATTACAGAAAGCCGCCATATTAAATACGTGCCGTATCGTGAGAAAATTTTTACAAATAGATGAAAACGACGTTACGCTCAATATCCCAGAACACACTACTTTATAAAATGCCCATATGCTTTTTACTTGGTGGACACTCGTAATTAGCATTAATAACGGCCGCAAGGCTTGAAAAAATAAAGATATAGAAATAATAATAAGATATAGATATAAATAATTTTTTGAATTAAAAAAATAATAATCATCAATAATAATAATTACAGCCGTTCACAAGTCCACTGGTGAACATAGGCCTCCCTCAAGGAACGCCACAAAGCACGGTCCTGAGCCACTTGCATCCATCAACTTCCTGCATGTCTGTCAGACCTTGTCATCACTCTATTCAGTAGGGTCTCGTACTACACTTTGCCTACCGGTACGAGGCTGCCGCTTGAGAACCTTTTTCCCCATCTGCTGTCGGTTCTTCAAGCTATATGGCCGGCCCATTGCCACTTCAGTTTACTAATCCGTTGGGCAATGTCGATCACTCTGCGGATATCCACATTTAAAAGTTAATCACGTATAGAAACTCCGAGTATAGCCTTCCCTTATAGCTCGCGGAGCAATCTTGAGTTTCCTCTTACGGCCAGTAGTGAAGGACAACGTCTCAGATCCATAAGTCATCAGTGGCCACACGCACTGGTTGTACAGTCTCGTTTTCAAGCTTTGAGGTATATCTGATGAGAAGATGTGTCGTAATTTCCCGAACACTACCCAGTCGAGTTGAATCCATCGATTGACCTCTCGATCGAAGTTGGACTTACCTAGTCGGACTTTTGTCCTAGGTAAACATACTCGTCAACAACTTCGAGCTTAGTACTCCCAACAACTACCGGCATAGGTGTGACGTGGACGTTACACATAATCTTTATTTTGTCCATGTTCATCTTAAGACCTATCCGTTGGGACGTACTATTAAGGTTATTGAGTATAATGCTTAGGTTTTCCTGCGATTTTGCCATAATTAATATATCGTCGGAAAATCGAAGGTGAGTGATGTGCCCACCATTAATGTTAATACCGTATCCTTTCCACTTAATAAATAACAGTAATATCATCATTTATTGACAGATAACAAAGGCCTTTAAAAAATATAGGTATAAGTTACACGTACAATAAAAAAAGCGTTTTTAATTCGACTTGGCCACTCTTGATAAAATGTATGAACCAAACCTTCCGCGTCCAAAAACTTAATTAAGTTTGTGCAAGCAAACGGTATCATTGTATCTGTGATTTAAAATTACTAAACGCACGTACATACTTCTCTCCGACGCGAAAGAAGATCATTCTTTACTCATTATAAGCCAGTGTTTGACCACAGTTTTCTTACGTGGTAAAGCCATGCTGGCGGTATATTACTGGTATAGTTGTAGCAGGAATGGGTCAGCTCGACCGGGGAAGGACCACGCTCTCACAGAATATCAGCGTAAAATAACAGCTTAATGTCGTTCGTTTCGTATGGTGAGTGAAGAGAACCGGAGACCCTTTTTACTGGAAACGAGGCATTCCATTTTAGTCCTCATGGGTGATAACACATCTGCATTTTTACTAGTAATCGAGGATGGATGTAGATGTCTATGGGCCACAGCAACCACTTACTATCAAGGGGACTGTGTGTTTGTTGTTTAATACCCTCATCATATAAAAAAAAGCATTTTAAAGACTCTTTAAGCTGTCGCTTGACTACAATTCCACCTGATGATAATTTTTCATAGAGTAACAAAAACAATTTTCTGTTGCTTTTAAAACATTGAGATTGTAATCGGATGAAAAGACAGACGCCGGCAAATTATTCCACTCCGTTACTGTAGGCATTACAAAAGACGAAACAAACTGTTTCGTTGCAACGCACATCAACAAAAAGAGGTAGAGACTCACAAACTCTGGTTGTCCGGTAGTGGAAAGGGGACAAGTAGTTAAATGTATTGTCATGTGATTCCTGCTCTCCATAATATATTCTATAGAACACCAAGAGGCTGGCCTTTGCTCGAGGCTTAAAAGATTGGTTTCAACTAAATCAGTCCAATGCTGCCACGTGGTATTTTGAAGCACCAGTCCCTATATGACAGTAGTAATCCTTGAATAAAACCAATTTTACGGATTTTATCACGTTTAATTTAACTTAATAAAAAAAAATGTTTTACTCAATGTCAAGTATTCGTGTAAATATAAGAAATCAGTAGTTCTACTTGCACGAGCGGACTTTCGCTTTATATACCCTGTCCTGGCTGTAGTGTCGCTACACCATTGCAACAACACCTTTCGGCTTCTTTGGCCTCGGACTACTTGTTGTCTATTCGGGAGGGGTAAAGTAAGTCGGGTTGGTAGAAGAGTGTAAGTTGCCATCCTACAACGTAATGCTGTAATATATTTTAAGCTCTGGGACAATTATTGACAGATATGATACTAAAGTAAAGCAGTTAAGAATGATAATTAATCAGCTAAAGTAAGTGGCTCAAGTATGAGTCTCTGAGAGATGACTACGGATTTGTGCCATTTTCTGTAGAGACTATCGGTCCGTGGAATCCACGTGCGGTGAAGTTCCTAAAGGAACTCCATCCGCGGCTGGTCGTAGCTACTGGTGATAAGAGAGCTGGTTCTTTTCTTGGTCATAGGCTAAGTATAGCCATTCAGCGGGGAAACGCAGCTAGCGTTCTTGGCACGATACCGCGGGGAGTAGGACTGTATGATAATTAAGTTACTACTTTTAGTTTTTTTTATTATAGTTGTTAAGAATTACGTATTTTCCTTCATCTTCTTCATTAGTAATAGTTCAATGCTGGATAGACCTTCCCTACGATAGGAATAAATAACGCTTGCCTGGTGGATTAGAGATAGCAGTGCCAGATGTCTTCAACCTTTAATTCTGATCTGCGTGTACAGTCTGTTATATTTTAAATTAAAGAGATGGCCATACCACCATTTTAAGACCTTGGAACCTTTGCTACAGTCGCTTCTTACGGTCTTCATGAAATAAGGTGATGGTTCCTCTAACGGCATTAGTACAGGAAAGAAGAATTTTATGTGATATTAACTAAAAATTCATGTTTTAAGTTTTTCGGATTTCAAATCGCATGGGATTAAAAATAAAGTTCGAAGAATTCTGACATGGTGATGCATAGGGAGTCATTTAAGTTTAGATAAAAGGATACGTGATCGTGTTTACAAAGACCGAAAATAAAACGGATACAGTTATTGAGCAGACGATCCAATTTGCACAGAAATATTAGGCTTACATCAAAGTAGATTAGGTGTTTGCCGTGATGTTAATCCGAGCGAGAAATTCAACGATGCGTGAAATTATGAAATATTAAAACAAATTCTCTGTTTAAAATAACCACACACTACTCTACATTTGATCTTGTCATGTACTCCCAGTTAATTTACTCTTTTGGTTTGGAGTCGCTGAAAATGAAAATGAAAAATGAAAAAAGTATTTAATGCTTTAACAAAATGTAGGTCATTTAAAAAGTTGATTCGTAAGTAAAAAACGTGCGTGAGTGTCGTGGCACGCTCGGTTGGAACGAAGTTCCTTTCGCAGTAGGTATATTATTATTGATAAATCTATTATATATTTTTTTATAGAATGAGGTTCAGAAACGAACACACAGTTCACCTAAATTAAAAATTAAAATGCAGATGCGTTATCACCCCAGAGAACTGAGATGGAATGCCTCGTTTCCAGTAAAAAGGGTCTCCGGTTCTCTACACTCACCATATGAAACACAGCAGCATTAAGCTGCTATTTTACGGTGGTAGAATACCACCGTAAAATAGCACCTGTGAGAGCGTGGTCCGACCCCGGACGAGCTGACCCATTCGTGCTGCAACCACAATATAGCTGCAGCATGGCTAAATAATTAAAAAAAATTGATACAAATAAATGAGTTACTAGCGTCTATTAAAATGAAGCGTCATTTAAAAATAATATTACTTTCATGGCAAGATATATTATTCTATCTTGCTCGCACTATATAAAAGGGGTCGTGACGGAAAAATCTTACACTTTTTCTCTCTTAGTCCCAATCCGCCAAATTCGTACCGTGCGATAAGGAACTTCGTTCCAATATATACCTTTAGCAGGAGGCCCGAGTCTTCTGTAATTAAGCTTACCATTACGTACAACAATATATTACAAATTATATGTTCCTGAATAGATTCAAAGTTATAGGTGTTGTAAATAAATGACTGAAATGTTAAATTAAATAATATTTTACCTCATATCTATCTTACAAATTAGATACTTGGTATTCGATATAATCAGGGTAATCATTTTGAGAATTTTGGGACTTCATTCGAAAATTTATAAATTATTTGCGAGAGTAAGGTAGAAGTCCATCTGTGTAGGTACCGCCACAGTTTAAAGAGAGTCTAACAGCCTCTTACCTACTTTTGCCGGCTAACAGCAATGCGTTCACTGTTGTGATCCAGTCTTATGGATACAGAGAGG